TCCGAGTGCAGGTTGGTCGGATGACCTGAGGTTTGCGCGTGAAACGTGGAGTCCAAGAGGACAGTCAATCAAACGAAAATTAAACAATCCCACACTACTCGCAAGTAATTGCGTGACATATGTACCAAAAACGTGAAGCAGGTTTAAAAATGTGGGTCCGTTGCCCTCATCCTGTGGAGAAGACAACGAAGAATGTTCGAGTGGTTGCACACGTGTTCGGGAACAAGAAGTGGGCCATGGAAGTTTAACTGCTTGCACAAATTGTTTCTGAGCGCACAGGGGAGGATTGTAGAGTTGAATGCTCACGGCTTCGGCTGTGGCTAGGTTGTGACACTTGACTAGTCTTGATTGCTTGCCCCGGACTTTGTAAATTGTGCGAAAAGCGTTTACCACCTCTAGTGAAAGGTTTGACTCAACAAGGTGTGCACACACAGCACTCGTAATTGTCTTGATTGCTCCAGTGTTCAACCAAGTCAGATGGTGTTCACGAACACGTTCGGATAAGCACCTGGTCGTGCGGCCAACGTATCTGGTCCCCTAGGAACAGGTGAATGAATACACACAAAAAGATGCTGCAGAATCTGGCACTCTATCCTTCAGCCGAAAACACATGATTGGTTTGGACTCGAACATAACTTGTAATTGTGCAGCGCAGAATGTTCTACTGACTGCTCCTGTTAGTCTTCGTTGAATAAATTCAGTTTCCGTGTCTCCTTTGAATGGTAAACGGATATATACGGGCTTCTTTTCGACTACTGTCTGTATTGGCCTATCTGAATGTCGTTGCATCGTTTTGTCAATGAACCGTTCAGGATAGCCGCTTTCTAGGAAAACACTCCTCAGAAAACGAAGTTTATTTTCTAATGTGTCTTGTGTGCCGATTTTCCTTGCTCTATTAACCAAGCAACGCACTAGATTTCTCTTCACTTTGAGTGGTACGAAACTGTGAAAATGAATGTATTGACCGTTCCAAGCTGTTTCCTATGCACTGACAACCGAACGGAACCATCACTTCGACGGCTTACACAAATATCTAAGTAAGATAAACTGTTTTCCTTTTTTTGTTCCAAAGTGAATTGAACATTTGGATGGGCTGTGTTAAACCTATTAAGTAGTACATTTGGATCAACTTTGGTATCTACCACACACACGATATCGTCCACGTACCGTTTGTATAAGGTGCACCCTTCGATTGTTGACTTGAGTTGGTTATTTTCAAGTTTTGCCATGAAAAATATCAGCAAATAAGGATCCCAAAGGTGACCCCATTGCCACCCCGTCCTTCTGACGATATATTTCACCGTTAAACTGAAATCGAATATAATGAGTGCAGACAAATAGTCATTGTTCCAGTTCATCCAACGAGATGCCCGGATCGATACTGTTCTCCTGCATGTGATCATATAGATAGTTGATTGTTTCGGCGATCGGGACATTGGTGAACAGTGAGGTAACGTCTAGTGAGATCATTTGCTTGCCTTCTCATAGTCTCTGCAAAATGCAATGTGTCTCGTAGGCTGTGTCTGGAAATCATGACTCTTACTGGTCCTAACAATTTAGCCAGCCACTTCGCTACTGTGTGATACGGCGAGTTGCACATCCAAAATTGGTCTCAAGGGAACACTTTCTTTGTGTACCTTCGGAACTGCTGTTCTCGCAGTTAACCGTGAATAAGGTGGAGTTACCAGATAAGCGATTGTGAGCAATCAGCGGCAGTGCTCGAGGATGTGGGATTTCTGCCTGGTTAGCATTCTTCGCTCTAAAACCCCACAAATCTTCGGACAGCGCTGTGACTTAGCGCGTGTGTTCATAGCTTCTTTCAGTATTCCACTTGCACGACAAGGTTTCCAGAAGAGGCAAACGTGCCAGGGAGTCGAAAATGTTTAATGTGTCAGAACCGAGATCGGTTCGGAGTGTATCGGAAAATCGATGCGCCATGTGAAATTTTATGGTAAAATTTCATTGTTTAATAACACAGCGTGGTCGAAATCGTTGGTAGGTTGTCGACTTTTCGGTCACTACGGGTAACCTTTTTCAAGACAACATTCGGTTGTAAAACCAGTCTTGAAAAAGGTTACCCGTTGTGATCAAAACGTCGACAACCTACCAACGATTTCGACTACGCTGTGTTAATAAACAATAAAATTTTACCAGTCGAAAATCACCCTGAAAGTACGTCATCAGCAACGTGGCAATCATCATCCTTTTAACCCACGAGTAAGTGCTTTGTTAACGCTAACTCATGACAGGACCACGTATTCCACACAGCAGTGCAGTCATGGCGCATGTGTCCATGAACCAATCGTCTCAGCACAGACCACTTTTCACATCGACGAATGACTGATAACATACTATCTACCTTTCACACCAAACTGTCAGCCAATCAGCCGTCAACACGCTGTGAGCCGATTTGCCCAATCACACTCGCCCACCACGCTGGGCAATAAATGACTGCCACATGTGTTCCTGTGTTACCAGGATCATGGTACATAAAGTGTTGTCTTTTGGTTACACTTGAATACAGTTTCCGCACTTGTTCTTAGTTAATTTTCCGTTGGGATTGGACGATCGAGGAATCACTGACCGACGATAATTCAGAGGTCTGCGCGCTGAAACAACAAATTGGCGACGGGGTAGAGTTTTCAAATCCACAATGCCCATTTCTGCCGAACAATTACAGTCAATTCTGAAACAACAGCAATCACAGTTCGAAGCAGCCCAATTGGAAAATGATGGAATCGACGATGCGACAATTTAGTTTGAAGCTCCACGACTCAATATCCAGCAACAATCCAGTTTCGGAAGTGACTTCCGATTCGTGGTTCAAACGATGGGAAGACATATTCCGAGCTGATTTTGCCAAGCCCGATGATGCATGGAAGTTACGATTTCTACTACGCAAATTGGGTACTGATGGACATGAGCGATAAGCTAACACAATTCTGTCACAAAATCCTCGTGATCTCACGTTCGATGACACCGTCAACCGTCTGTCAGAAACCTTTGGCGGGAAATCATCATTGTTCAATACCCACTACCACTGTTTGAAGTTGGTAAAGAGTGGAGCGGACGATTTTCTTCCGTCCTCTATTATGGTCAGTCGCAAGTGCGAACATTTCAAGCTGCTTTCCATGACACAATACCTATTTAAATGTCATAGCTTCTTGTCGTGTTCCACTCACCCCACAAGGTTTACAGAAGAGGCGAATAGTCACCGGCTCATCTGGGCCGAGGCTGCTGCCTTGCAAGTTGCCCTTTGCCGCGAAAAAGCTTGAGATGCATTTTCGAACGAAAAGGCTTACTATGAACCGGCTACTGAATAGTAAAGCTGGTCACAACACAAACGGCCATGGGAGACACCTGTGAAAAGTTTCAGACCTTGAATATGCGGACGGTATATTTCTTCTGAGTGAAAACCCATGCAAGTTGCAAGCTTTTATGGACAGCTTGACTAACTGTGTAGCAATGTTCGGTATGAGTTTTTCACCTTCAAAGTGTAAAATGCCGTTGCAAGATTGGTTTATTTAAACGCCAAACCTTTCAACGTTTGAGAAGGCTGTAGATTAGGTTGGCAAGATTTATTATTTGGCTAGCTATATTTCACCCGGAGATTGAATACCAAATGAGTCGCCTTTGCGTATACAGAAAGCACGTTTTGCATTTGTCAATCTCAGTCATATATGACGTCGATATCACATCCGTTTATTTATCAAGGGTGGATTGTATGCTGCAGCAGTTAGGCCAGTGCTTCTGTATGGTTCGGAGACATGGCCACTGCGGGTGGAGGATATACGAAGACTATCGGTATCTGAACACCGATGTCCTTGTAGCATTGTTCGAATCTGATGGGAACGCCTTTTGAGCAATGCTGAGATTCGGTGGAGAGTCCTAGGTTCATAAACTAAACGGAGCACTAAAGGTCATCAGGCTAAGATGGTTGGGATATGTGTTGCGCATGCTCCCTGACAGGATTCCTCGGCGAATCATGTTCGCTGAGGTGGGTACTGGTTAGAAGACGAGTAAGGGTGGTCAGTTCATGACGTGGAAGAAAGGTATGAAAAACCTAAGATGTGGACTTGACCATGTAAGATGTGTTAGACTACCTGGATGGAGTTTGAGAAACCCTTCCACTCTATAGTTAGATACACTGGAGGACATGGTTAGGTGTCGCAATCGGTGGCGCTCTTGTATCCACATGCATTTTTATCGACTTGATATCAATACTTGTGGTTCTCCCACTACACCTTTCATACTCTTGTTCTTTTCCATTATTTCCAACTGAGGTTATCTCTAGTAGATAGTAACCACAAACACTACGCGTAATGTACGGGCAATGGTTGTCTAAAATGAACTGGTGCAAAGACTGACTTTTATACTTTTTTATACTACCTACCCCCTATTTTTGTAATTGTTGTTATTACACTGACCATGTGCTTGATTTCAAGCGGGTGTAGAAGAATTGTTATTATTATTATCCACTCCGGCAGGCTATCGAACTTACCAACTCAGCAACCACATTTCAAATGTGTTTCATAATAGGGTACAGATAATTCGTGGGACAGTGTGCGACCGACCGTTGTCAAACCATTCGCTTATCTGCTTTCGGAAAGTGGTGTGACTGGCTGCCTCACCTGAATTTGCATTAGGTTGACCCGGGATAGCATGTCCGCGCTCGAGACACTCATCCGTTACAGCTGAATGAATTGATATGCATATAATCCAATTTGCTGTTGCGAGCCGTCAAAAGAGCATGACGTAACAGTCGTCGAAAGGGGCTTGTTCGTTACGGTATCCCTTTTTCTACTTAGATTCAGTCAGTAGGCTAACCAAATATGCGAAATATGAAGCTGTTCCTAAACCAAACCTTTGAAGGAGCTGCACCATCCCATGGCCGAGAGTTAATCTGGTGAGGTACCAAACAGAATCAGAGTATGGAATTGCGACTTTGATGGTAGATTAAACTGAGCTGAACTGAATCTGCCACATTCATCTCAACTCACTTGTATACACGCAAACTGAGATTCGTAAACTGATCCACATAGGACATCAGTTTCCGAGTAAATCCATTCGTCAGATGTCCAAGCAAGACACTTCCAAAAATTGTGAATGCGCTATCATCCGATGGAGGCAGAGCGTGATACACAGTGAACAAGGATACGAAACGTGGGTCCAGACTTTGTCGACCTCCTCCGGCAGGACCGATAGCAGCCAAATAGGTCATGTCTTTTAGACTACGCCAAGAAAGATCGCTGCCTTGCTGATACATCCCATTACGGCCAATGATTACCCGTAGGAGGGCAATAGGTTGTTGTGTTCCATACTCGTCTTCCTGAATAGAGAACAAGTGCCAAATCATATATAAAAAGAGTATATATTAGCGTCTATCATCGGAAAATGAAACCAAAGGGAAACAAACCAGATGGTAACTCGGGTGGTGAGCGTAGCAACCAAGACCGGGGCAAAAAGTAGGAGGTTAGGTATTAAAAGGATTGGACTGAAGTGATTCCTATGGTACTACTGTTGTGAGTGTATATACTACTTATTAAGTAGTTGATTGCTGAAGACAGAACTATGGACAATTGTGGATTAACGAACACAGCTAAGTTCAGCAATCCAGGCGCAATAAGGTAAGCGACAATCTGCAAACCACCTGACCGCTCCTCCGTTGGACGATGACTGTTTTCAAGTGAACAGGACAGCCATTTGGCAAATGAGGATGTTTGTAACGTTTGTGTTGTTTTGTCAATGTCCGAACACGTTGATGGCAATAAACAACCTATTGACCAAGGCACGCCTTCTGGATTATAACATTTGGTGCCGTGACCAGGATGGATCTACCATGGCCGGAGCCGTTTGAGGATGGCGACATACGGATCTTCCTGGAGGATTTCGAGGATCTTGCGGAGCTCTCGGAGATCCAGTCGGACCGGGGTAAGTTGACGGCCCTTCGAGCGCTTCTCAAGGGCAGGCCGCGGGCGGTGCTGGATGCGGCGCGAAGGGGCCCGAAGGAGCTGAAGTGGGCCGCCGCAAAGGAAGCCCTGATTGCAGGGCTAGACACCCCGGCAGACCGTCAAGACGCTATGCGCCGGTTCAAGGCTGCCCAGCTGGGGGTTGGTACGGATCCGATGGTGCACGCCGTCGCGCTCCGCTCACTCCTGGAACGTGCGTTGCCGACGCTGGATGAGGCGTCACGGGCAGACCGATTTGTGGATAGTCTGCCGGAGCCCCTGCGTGGGATGGTACGCGTCGCCCGTGTCGGCCGTTCATTGAATTTGGTCCAGCTCGCGGATGTGGCTCGGGAACTGGCCATGATTGGCGTGCCTGTGGTCAATACGGCCCATGTCGGGGATTCATGGAGGAACAGGGATCGTGTGAAGAAGGCGTACGGTCCAGAAATTTTGAACACGGAGGACAGAACAGTGGAAGCCAGACAGTTGGAAGAAGCCGGGTGTTTCTGCTGTGGAAATGTGGAACCTGTTTTGGACGAATATCCTGAATATCAGCAGAACATCGAAAAGGTTGCACCAGAAGTATCACTGCTCGAGAATTCAACCATTACCGATGAGCTGGCGAACTGTGAAAAATCGAACCAAATCCGTGAAAATGCGGAAGATTGCTACCCAGGTTGCCTTGAACATGAACATTGTGCCGAGGAAACCGAAGACATGTCGTCTAATATCACAGTCACTGAAGCTGCAAGATATGAGGAAACTCAGACTGAAGTCGAAATTCGAGACCAAAATGAGCTTAGCCCGAAGGACATTGAAGGAAGTATACCGGATACATTCATGCTGGAGACTTCAATCACTTCTGACGAGGTGGAAGATGTCGGGCTACTGAACCATATCCCTGAAAATGTGGAAAACTGTAACCGGGATTGCTCTGAAAGTCAACCGGATGATGGTGGAAGCGAAGACATGTCATTTGCTGCGGTTGCCATTGCATTGAGAGACTACGGGTCATGTCGTGCGCAGTGTGAAACTAAGGCGCCTTGCAAAGTTGAAACAGAAGAAGTTTACCCCCTACCTGAGCAAGTGCCGGGCGATGAAGTCCAATCTTATGCATCCCGGAAGGAGACTGCTGGAAGTCATATCCAGGATGATAGTGGAATGACACAACGCATGGTGCTCAGTAGCTTTGAAGTGGTCAGGCACGATGTCGTGGTGACGTGCGATAAAAGTCAGGTGTTGTGTTCAGTATTCACTCTTCACTGTTGCCATCTAGAAACAAGGCTGGTGTCGGTGTGTATCACGGACCGGAAAAAGCATACCACCGGAGGAACTGTGGGACGGATGACAACACCACCACGAACCGGGGTTGGAGGTATGAACCTCGGAACAGAGAAAGACTTGAAGACAGTCTGCAGGATTTGGATCGTCCTTTATTTTGTCAGGGGGGAGGAGTGTTGTGAGTGTATATACTACTTATTAAGTAGTTGATTGCTGAAGACAGAACTATGGACAATTGTGGATTAACGAACACAGCTAAGTTCAGCAATCCAGGCGCAATAAGGTAAGCGACAATCTGCAAACCACCTGACCGCTCCTCCGTTGGACGATGACTGTTTTCAAGTGAACAGGACAGCCATTTGGCAAATGAGGATGTTTGTAACGTTTGTGTTGTTTTGTCAATGTCCGAACACGTTGATGGCAATAAACAACCTATTGACCGGGGCACGCCTTCTGGATTATAACACTACGAAAGCATATAAAAACGAATACCAAAAGGCTGGAAGTGCGAAGAAATTTCAATCAACACCTCGCTTCAGGCTTTTTTAATTACAGCTCGGTAAGTATCAGTTTCAGTCTCAGTTCAGTTTATACAACCACTAACCTCCCACTTATGTGCTCTGGTTTCGGTTGCTACCTTCCAGCATCGCCCACTGAAGAACAGAGAGAATGGAAGCACAGAGTGCAAAAGATCCCAAAAAGTCGAAGTAATAAGTGGAAATCACGAAGAGAAAAAAAAGTCCGATAAGCACACGGAAACATAAGCAGCCCAGTTGACACAATAGTGTAACTATGACAGATTAATCGGTGGAATTCAGCACTCTGCAAAAGAAGTGTGGAAGCTATGGAAAAAGTACAACTGTGAGACTGGATATGGGATTGAGGAGAAGGTTTCACAAGGGATTTCGATGCGAGTTTTCGATTCTTAAGGCCGTGGCAACATTTGGGGTTGCACAAGTTTGTACTGCTTGCATAATTCGGGTTTCAGGATCTTAATCGCTATGGGCTCATATATTGTGCTCGTCTGTGTTACCTATTGCTGAGGAGTTTGGATGTTGCTTTCAGTTTACTGAACGCGTTCGTGAAGCTGATTGACTCTCCACTGTTGAATAGGAGTTGCCAAAGGGAAATCCCTCCATGTGACCAGTGTTCTCTAGGTATCGATCAGAATCACGAATAAGTAAACTGAAACCACAAAACGAGAAAATTGGATGTTATTGACGGATCCTGCTATCACTAGCGACAGCTTTTCCATTCGAATCCAAAAGCTTTATCTTCATTTGGTGGATGTCAAAGAATTTCAAAAAAGGCGACGAATAGTTATTGGGACGACATACTTCATTTAAATTTTTCGTTCATATAACAAAGATGATTCGATTAGGCCTTCAATATTTTTGATTTGAAAAAATGGTATGCAGTAGATGGATATGCCGGGAGAATAAGTCATAATTCATAAATATCATATTCTGATGTTCGGACTTCAAGTCACACTGTCATACCAAGCCGAACGTGAGAATTCGGCAGATAAAGACTCTAGAGTTGTTTTTTCTTTTCTTTTGGAAACTCACCTTGGGCATGTTCATATCATCAATAAAAACGACTAATGTCTTTCCGGGGATCGGTCCATACACTCCTTTGGCACGTTTCTCCACGTTGGCGTTGATCATGTTGCGTGCATCGTTTGCCGTAGTGCGTGAGGAGAAGTTCAAATACAAAGTGCTCGTCGTGTCCAAATCTAGTGAATGCATGGTGCTTTCAATTGTAGCTGTTTTTGACGTGCCGGTTTCACCCACAACTAAAAGAGGAGCACGAAGCTATGTGGGGAAATGTACGAGGACAGGGTCAGAATGCATATCAAGGATATCAGAGATAAAAATTTAACTATTCTTAAGTAAAGATATGAAGTTTACATTAGGTTTCTGGAACAGATTATCAATCAAACATAACCCTTGAAGGCCGGGACCACTGTGGCGTACAGATCGTTGAAACCTTGACGAAGATGCAAACTATTCAGACCCTTTCACCCCAATTAAGATCACTTGTATTTATATCGTACCGAAAGCTGTAACAGCTCATGAGAACCACTTGTACACTCAAACTCGACATGCCCAGTGAACGCAAATACGTCCGTGACTCACAATCAAAGAAACAGTTGCTTCTTTGTCCAACTAGTCACTCTCGCTCACATACACAGTCAATTCAGGCACACATTAAAAACGAATCAAGTTGATTAGGACGTTCATCATCAGTGATGGCTTTCCCAGTTCATAATCATGTGGTTAGATGTCACGACAAATGGCATCCCTGTTATCACAAACTTTTTTCATCTACTTAAAATAATTACCATACTCTTGATTGTTAGGATTTCTGAGTGAGATTGACTGCTGAAAGACAACAATCAGAACCATCGCGAGGAGTGCCCGGCTATTGGTTTTTCAAAATGGAATGAACTGACATTCAGTCCGCATCATATGTCATTTAGGCTGAGTGTTGATCATACGCCAATAGCCGCTTCACGAGACGCTCGTGTTTGCCTAATTTATCACATCTGGATCTGGACCGCGTGGCCCAATTCACTTGATCCGCCTTAGTGAACCATTTCTCAATCTCTTTCTGAATCGTCAAATTTTATTCAGCCCGAAGTCCGATGTGCCAAATACCCAAAACGCTTTTGCGTCAATGACTGCATTGTGCACTCATCATCGGTGCACCTGAGGTTACACTGACGTACGTGAACCCGATCTGGTCGAGACCGAAGCTGAGGACTTAATTAGATATGGTTGCATCGGATAATTGCGAAGCGATAGATAGTCTGGTTAGTCTGTCCGCATGCTCTCTAATCTAGGCCTGAAAACGAATTAAAAGGAAGTAATTGTTTCGCCAGTTCCAACGTTTAAAATGCCACGACTGTAGTGCACATCCAAATGATCATAACTTCTGTTCTCTCCTTTCATATTCCAGGTGCCGTCATTGGAGGCCTAGAAGATCAACGGGCTAATACACTGATCCCTACATTGGCCTCCATCGAACAGTGACCTCGAACTTGCCCCCAAGAATGTATAAAAAACCATCTTGGACGCCCATAGCTGACCTAATTTCCGTTCCGTTTGATACAACACACGCGACCGTTGTTCTTCAATACATTGTCCTCCACTGTCGTGCTGACTTCTCTGTTTGTTATCACAACACGTGTGCGTGATCTCTAATTGAATCCATTTTCAGAGTCCGCGGTTATCCGGTGCATTACATGGTGCGTATTTTACAGACACTGAAGTAATCAGTGATTGTTGAGGAGACTAAATCTATCCTACGTGAGACGAGCTAAAGTGAACACCGCTCTTAAGTAAGTAGTTGGCTGTGTGTGTTCTAAACTACCCGACCTACTTCACGCACGGAAATCTAAAAATCGAAATTACTCAGCTACACCGGAACTATCATGGAATCTCGAACAGGATGCATTGAGGAAAGGATCGAGTGCCAAGACTACTCGGTGTATATTCCCCAATCAGCCCAATCGGTACGCGCGGAACTGATCTAACTCGCATGTGAGTGGATCGGTTTATGAAACATGCATTATTCGGGGCGGTCTGAGGTCAAAGCTGCAAGTGGATTTTTCTCTTTGAGGAAGCCATTGTGTGGCCTTCCAAAGATGCAGTCTACCGGATTACCGTTGGTTTAACAACTGTATCGGAAGTCATGATAAAAGGAGTGAATGATAATAAATTTGACAGGGAACTATTCCTTATTTTCACGAATGGTGGAGTGGTGCAGAAGCTTCAGCCCAGACCAGTGATTTGTTCGCGATGAACCATATATTCCTGGAGACTTCCGAATAACGTGAAAGATATTTGTGAGTGTCATCTGACTGGCCAGTTTAGATTTCGTTCTGAATGGTATAGAATTTGGTACGTAAACCTTTTCTATCCTTGCCTGCGTCAGCTGCCGCATGGCACGGTCGTTGACTGTGTGCTGAAGTACAGAAAAGTGGAAATTACACCTAGGGAAATTTTGTGAACCTTTATTAGTTATTAGTAGGAATCATGAAGATGAACAGAGTTCTAATAGAAGTAAGTCACTAATGCCGGGCCCGATAATCTTCGCACAGCGTCTCTAACTACCTGGAGAGGGCCCCAATATCTTAGCGTTCCAGTTACAGGACGATCAAACCCACTTGTAACCAACAATGCACCACACTACGTATCCGCTTCACCGGCCGATCAGTGGTCTCAACGAACCTCAAAGGCAAGATACCTGTCAGTACCTCTACCACGTCAGCCTATTTGTTTGTTTTCCCATGTTCGGTAGGTTATGTAGGCGGAATGACACGGCAATTATCACAGAGAACCAAAGAACGCAAACGAGTTTAGCCAATGTCGGGAAACAGAAAATCCATTACCAGTGGAATTAGGGCGCACCCTGCGGACACTGGGCATTACGTAAGCGATGGCGCTTTCAAAATAGTCTATATAGTCCTTACTAAAGTGCCAAATGTCGCCCGAAAATAGCATCTAGCAACGTTAGAGACTGCACGGATCAGATTACCCAACCCATCGTTTTTTTTTTAAAAGACTTTTGTTAAAGCGCTCCAACTTCCCCGTCTCCGATTCGAGATCGACCTTGGAACTCAGTACGACTCAAACGCAAACCCTTTGATTGAAACCGGAAAGGATAATCCCCGAAACCCAAGTTCACTGTTTCGCTGGTCCTTTTCCTAACCACGGAACAGCAACATCACCTTTCCCACCTTTTCTGATTATGGAGTGCCAATTTTCATGACTACTCAATTACACATTGACACACAAACATTGCTCGTGATTTATGCGTTTCAGACCTATAAATGTAACTCAATTAGCCACGAAAATGATGTCACTGAAAACGAGCTAGTTCGCTATTCGAGTTTTCTCTATTTAGTTCGTAGTAAATATATATATATATATATATATATATATATATATATATATGTATATACATAATTATAAAAACGAGGTGGCACATGGTCTATCCTATCACAAACTTCGTGGCAAACAAAATCGGGGAGCGCAGCTCACTTTCAAATGTTCTTTCAGAATCCAGTTTAGTTTCACAGTTTCCACCGTTGGTACAAGAATTCGGGTAAATGGAACACTTGTGTCGTGCACGTAACAAGGTACCAGGCTTTTCCATGGAACCCAGTTGAACGTTTCCACATTAAACATATAATCGATCAGCATAGGATGATGACTTGGAAGAGAGCCTGGATGACACAATGCAGAAAGGAGATAGGTTGATCTATTGGATTATGAAAAAGCCGATGATGAGAGGTCGGTAAAACACCGGGGAAAGAGAAGCACTCATTATTGCAACAATACGTAACTTCTGTCCGTGATTCGTTCCGTATTTTAACGGATGCTTTTCAGACGACGCTCGGGGAGAAATAAAGTATCAGCTGACTGATAAGCGGCCCCTGAAGAAGATCATCTGAAGCCAATACTTTATTTTTCTTGATCGCGAGAATCTGGAAGCCGTATTTTTGTATCGTACGACCTGACAGCAATATCCTATCGCAAGTTTCTGTCGCGTAATATCCTTAACAACGTATAGATAGCACATGCCCATGCGCAACAGGAACGTGCGATCAGGTCCCAGGATACAAAAAGAAATTTGTGACTAGGATAAAATTCGAACCCTCGCGTGAAACCAAAATGTATGTGCGCTCAGAAACAATTTGTGCAAGCACTTAAACTTCCATGGCCCACTTCTTGTTCCCGAACACGTGTGCAACCACTCGAACATTCTTCGTTGTGATCAATTTCACATGCATATACACACACAGACACGTGCACAGACAGATTTGGATGATCATCTTCTTTGTTGGTTTGAGTCATATTTAATGTTATGTATTGGTATGAGTACAAATAACTGAAAACGAGCTTGTTCACTACGCTGTCTTGTTCTCAAAATCTGTTGTGTACGAAATGTTTTTGAATTATGATTTTGGAGTGACTCTCACGACATCCTAACGCATTTTTGGAAAACACTCAATTACCAATATGCTTGATTTATATGAAGAGTGCATCAGTCCGAAGATCGGGCCTAAAATGATACGTTTTGTGACCGAAATAGCAGCACAGAATTACGACTTTAACGGTTAAAACAAATGAAGTGAAGTTGATGGCTGGAGTAGTATTTTTAAGCCCTTCTTTTCATATTCAACTGTTTACTGCGAGTAAAATCACCTCGTTTAGATCAGTGGTGAATAATGTACTGTTTAGGAAAGTACGCTCCAATGCCTCTCGTTGTACGATGATGAAAGAGACTAATTTTGTATCAACTAATTTTTCGCTTTTTTGACCGCTAACCTTTGTAAGCCTTGTTCAGTTACCAAACGGAGGTGAAATTGCACTCTACTTCTTCTGACTGGTTAAACCGATACCTTATTCAGCTCTGTTGGTTTTTATGAAAGAACTCATTGTTTGAAAACTAGGGTTTCGGTCACTTGTTCATATGTAGCCAGCGATTCTTCATGCGTTCAGTTTTCTAGGGTGATTCGTAGTTTGAAAAGGGCTTCGAGATGAACGACAAAGGGCACGGGAAAAACGAGTAAATTGTTTATGAATGAATTTGGTCTCACTTTTATAAATTTTATGCTTATGTATGAGTAATGTGAAGCTCATAGGAAACCGTTGCACCACCAGAGAGAATCTAAACTAACTACCGTGAGACTTGGAAGGAAGAAACTGAAAAAGACCATTTTGTGTGGCCTTACCGTCGATGGAACCACTGACTGCATCGTGTTCATGCCGATAAATTTATTGATTGTTTAGTCAGTAACGTCTGCTACCACATTCGCACCGTCGCACATCACTTCAACTTCGCATATACCACGGCGCGTTCGTTCCAGCTAATCAAATTTTGACACTGAGCCATACGAGCTTGTTGATGCGTTGACTACTGAGCGGTCCTACTTGAACGTGCTCAGTCGCTCATACTGCTTGCTCATACTACCGGTGATTACCTTGCTGGATCTCCTCTTTCTAATGATTTTCGCACATTTAGGCATAGAATCAACAAGCTGATTTTTATACGCTGGTTCACAAACATTTCCTACTGTACAGTAGATCTTTAGGCTATGGGATTTGTCCCTTCTGCTGTAGCTCGTGTTTAACATGTAATTAAAAAACGCTTATTAGTTTACTTGCGTGCCCATAGACGGATTGCTCACGTACTGTGTTCTCTCAAGACTATGAATACAACAGGCCCCAAACAGGTCACAGGGTGAAGCAAACCAGCTGGCAGTGGAATGCTCTCTACCACCAAAGGTGATCGAATCGCATGGAGTTCGAACCTTGTCAGTCAGACCTGATAGTTATCGGCCGCCATCAAGGATGTGGAACTATAGTGGAACAATATTCTTTTGACTGTTCAAAACTTTATTATCTTCTTTTGTTGGTATAATTGTTTTCTGTGGGGTAACAAAAAGAATACTACCTCATCTTAATCTTTATTTGGCGCTCTGTTTTGGATTGATATGACAGCGAACCTACGGTTCGAATCACAACTTTTAAGTGTTACAAAAAAGATACGCAACCATCTTGGAAATAACGTGAAACAGCTTTTAGGAAACAAAAAGATTTCGTTACTGAAAATTCGGACTGACCTGCTCGTACTTGACCTTCAGGACCCTCGTCCATCTGCGGTAGACTCGCTAATGCTCGAATTAAACTGTCCACAATACGCTGATCCGCAGCCGACAAAGTACCAGTGATGGCCAAACCTAAACAGAAAATAAATACACTTTCCAACACGTCTGGACTTTCTAAGCCTAACTCTTCTTGTGATTCCCGACTGACACCTTGTGATGCAGTTACGCCCAACGAGGGGGTAGCTGATACGGGTTGCTGACCTGGAGGTGGCGATGGGCTTGGCATCGACGGGGACGGCTCCTGACCTATCGAGCCGGGTGTGTTAGAAGGCAGCGCAGAAATAGGGGATGCAATCGAGGTCACTACGGATGTTCCGGTTGTATCAGCAAATGCAGACGCCTTAGTATATTCACCAGTAGTTCTGCGCGGGTAACGGAAATTTGAGAAAAATGGAAAAAATGCAAGTTCAATGGACAGATTCTCACACATGGCTTGAGGCGTGTATTGCACTCGTCAGGAAGTGTTTCAACTTATCTATGGATTACCTTGCATAATAATTCAAATACTCTCACGAATATTCGAGTTCAATAGTCAAACATGAAACCGTACGCCTATGTACATCCATCGGCAGTCCGATTGAAGCGCCAAGGAGATGAGAAACAAGAAAATAAACACCACGGTATTCCTTTCACCAAAATGTCTGCCATGGTGATCCCCTGTGTGTCAACTGACGCGGCTGTGATTCAATCCTTACGCGCTCCCCTCACTCTCTTGCATTCCATACCAACGGCACAGTGTGTGCCCATTTTGTCCGACCAATCAGTTGTTGTGGCTATGCTTTATTCATGCCTATCGATTACCATGTCCGTGTTTCCCGTCGCTTGTCGTGCTCACACAAGCCATGATTCGTTGTCAGCACCTTTGTATTGCAACAGCCCCCCCCCAACCATCGGCATATGTAATATTGTTTTTACATTTTTCGGAACAATAAGTGAGCAAGAAATGAAGGATTCTACTCTACAAATAAAGCCTCTCGACAAGACTCATCACCAGTGACCAAATTCGTTTTTCGGTCTACTTCGATTCTCACGAATAAACCCATCCAATCGAAATGCACGTAATCGTCTGATGAATAGAACCCTACGGCCCGAATGTAGGAAAACTGTTTCTTTGACACCTCATTAGGCCAATATAGTTCACATAAAGGCATCATCGAATTTTGCTAGATGAACTGTTTTCTTGCTAATTAATTTCTGTTTACTGAGCTTTTCGTAGTAAATCATAAAACAACTGAAATATAAAATCCTACAGAACTTCATATCAGTAACATTAGTTCTGCCGCGATCCGTTTTCGATTGAAATTGTGTGACCTTAGTCACCATGATAATTCGGTCCGAAGTCCTTCAGTCTGAAGTTAGTTAAGTGTTAAGTGTGGCTCATAGCTAAACTGACAGTTAAAATTCACCATGGATGGTTTTGTCATCGAGAAATAAATCTTGATTCTACGAGGAACGTTTCTTTTTTTCCGCATTGTCTGTTGTGTTTCTGCCTAACAGAAATAACCAAAAACGAAGCGAAAATACAAGGAGAATGCCATGTTGTCTAACAGTTCAGCGGTCAACTCACGGTAAATGGTGTACTTACCGGAGGAAAAGTTTTGGTTTATTTCGAACGCATGACCTGGACTTCAGGTTTATATGACGCGCAGATCATTAAATATCAATTTCATTTTCGCCACATTGTGTACATTTTTTACTGGAAACCGAAAAATTCAGCTACTTTAATAAAGAGGAGGAAGATATCATCGCACGAGCCCATCATAGGCTTGTTCTTTTGGCACACATTTCCGAACACGAGTTGTAGGCGAACATATGTTTTCGGTGATTTCATTCTCAAGCTGTTGCAATCACATTTACATGAAAACAAATTACTGAGAGGAGTTGGAAGAAGTTTCACCAAGTCAGTACGGAGAAATAAGGGTGAGGAGGTACGGCAACAAATACGAGTGACCAGATTATGTAACCGGTGATAATTAGCTTACGTCACCGCTACGCCCAACTGTGTGTAACACGGTTGACTGTTGGCTGTTGTGAATTGCGGCACGTTTTCCTCCATTATTTATTCAAAAAGTGCTGCCATATCAAAATGTGGTTTGCACAAAACGAAGATATTCCACTTGGATAATGATGTTCGCCGCACTAGGATAAAAATAACATCCAGAGAGCAATATGTATTTATTCTAGGAGATTTAACAGTGGACTCCCATGAGTCTTTGCAAACAAGGGTGGAGAAAAGTAAGTTCGTTTAGCCTTCGGCCTATAGAAAGCCGGTATTATACAGATAACAACGGTGGATGAATGTTGCAACTGCAACAGTTTTCGAACTATATCGCTAATCGTTTTGGCCATCGATTTCCTTTACACGAACTAAGGTGAGAATTAGGAGGCTTACACGTAAGTCAGTAATAAAAAGAAATTCCCAAGGGAACTTAGTGACTCTAAGGTCGCAAAGCCCACCACGTCGATTGATATGGGCTGCAAAAAATCATGACCAACCTTGTGTTGGTGAAGCGTTATTAAAGGTATTCTGAACAACGTAGAACTCACCTGGCCAAAAAAATGGAAGTCCCTTGTCTGTCTGTCTGTCTATCTGTCAGAACAGAGTTACTTCTGTGAAAACTGACTTGTAGAGTAAGGCGCCAGGTCATGTATCACATAAGGTTGGACATCTTATAGTTATGAGCACATTTATCCACTTGCTATGAGATTTTACTGTAATGAAGCCACTGGAAATTTTCATGATTCGATGCTTAGATTTCCCACTAATGGCTTCATTTTGAATAAGATCAAAAATTTATTCCTAGCATTTAAGGAAGAAGCTATTACAATTTCCCGGGTGGCATAGAAGGTATTACTAGGGTGCAGCCTGGTAAGTGGGGTAAAGCACAGTTTTAAAAACCGCGATGTCCAGCGTATTTTGACTACACCTGTGTGGAGATTAGGAAGCATTTGAAAGTGATTCACAATGTTAGCACATGACTGGAGTACAGCTCGTCGGGCTTTATGTGCTTTGCCGGTCCGAGTCTCCCCGTCAAGTTTGATGATTATCCTCAGCGGTACAGTGGATTGTTTGGCTATGAAATTCGCCCTTTTCACTTCGTTTATGAATGAAAATTTTCATGCTAAATCAAAGGTACCTTCACGTAATGATATAGCACCTCTCATGCAGTGCTGATGTCACACAAACCGTTAACTGGCAGTTAGGTGCTCGGCTCACAGTCGTTCACCACGGGTTTGAATCCCAGTGGGACTGGGTGGATGTGTACTGCCTATGGTTCCAAACAACGATGAAGCAGCTGCTCATTGATCACTTGAGAGCTGATAATGTGCAATGAATCACTTCATTACATATGGAACATTTAATGGTTAGTTCTCTACCCTGTTAACCTCGCCGATCTGGACTGCTTTTCAATTCCCGTTTTTGCCTCGTTAAAGTACAAAAAACTGAAATCAAAGGACAGCACATGCCTCAGAGAAAGATAAGCACTCCTAATCAACGTACTCCACTTCCGGATCTCTCTGTTTTTTATCAAACGCGGAATTTTCCGAACCCGGGATTGATCCGATATCCAACTGACTACGAAGAAGTGTACACAGTTGTATGATCACATTCATTCGAACCAGAGGGACGACCATCTTGAACTTTTTCCCTCCCTGACTGGTGGCCTGGTCTTTTCCGCCACCGCCACCACCTCGTCCGGTATCCGCATCGTGACCATCTTTGTTCCCTTCGTCAACCGCACCGATGTTCGTATTCATCAGACGGCTCACACTTGTGGGCAAGACACCCTCAAACAAATAGTCCATGATTACTGGTACGTATTTATTAAATAAAGCTTCTAAATACTGTTTCACATTTGATTGAACTCCACTAATCTGTAGGGAAAATAAGGACGAAGACATTCCGCCAATAAACTCCGAATCTAAATGACGATAACGGTAAACATAAATCTGTCTGTTCAGTCTTGTTAGTATGCAACGGAAGCGAAACTTAGTAAAATGTTTGACCTTTCAGAGTGAGGAAAATTTGTTCTGCAGAGACTTGAGTGGACAAATTGACACTAATAAGAAACACCCTGCATGAGAAAAGTTACCCGAATCGGTTTATCAAAAAAATGCCGAAAATCCCCTTGGAAACCGTAAAAAAAGAAAGATTTTTATATTAGCTTGCCATTCAAGGGCGATATTGTTAGTGAAATCCTAAACCGTCGACTAGGGAGAGAAATTCAAATACTTTCAATGCCGCCATACTACGTTGTGTATTTCGAGGTGCTGCTCTAATCCAGATTCAGAACTAGGATAGACTGCTGATGCTGACCTCATCAATGGTTGTATACTCTTTCAGATGTGTTTGTGACGCATCTTATGGGGGTCGAACGGCACGACAGCTATTAACTCGGATTAAAGAGCATCATCCGCGCTGGTTGAGTCAAAGACTGGATCGATAAACAGCGCAATCCTAGCGCATTTGGTTGACACTGGACATCAGGTGAATCCAGGAGCAGCTTTCAAAGTTGTTTATCGTGTCCCCCCAAACAAATACAAAGGTGTTCATTTGCGCGCTCTGGCGACAGCCGAAACAATTGGAGTAAGGAGCTTGACCCCTGACCTGTACGCCCAAAAGCGTGTGGTCCGGGCACCAACTCCCCTGGCCCAAGATTGACCAAGGCCGCATAAATTTACAGTCCAGTTACCTAGACGGTGTCAGCTAGGTAAATCAATCATATGATAAGGGTAACTTTACTGACAAATCCATGCCCGTGATTGGTGTTTATTCCATGTCTATGTTCATGATCTTTTGTCTAACTTCTACTATTCAATCTGAGAATGGCTTGAGAATGAATTACTGAGAAACAATTGTTTCGCCGATCTGGACTTCTGTATGATGCAATGGGTATTCTCCAGACATTAGAACGGACATCGACAACGAGGACGGGATGAAGTCTCGATTGGGCCTACCGATGCGCTTCGTATACTCCAGGTTACGATTAAACCATAAATCCGTACGTAGTGAACCAGAGGCGTAAAGTAAGTAACGGACATTATAGACAACGTGAATACATCAATATTATAAAATGGGAAGAAAATGATGCAGTCCATGGACAAAAGGTAGCCTCACTTCTTCGAAGTCAGAAATTCAGAAATCGGGTTCCAAATGTTACTAAAAATACGATAGTTTTCACGTTGAATTTTGTGAAATGAAATTAAACCATTTAATGAGATCGACACTCTATGTTTGGGTACACATCTGTGGTGATTCAGCAGCTGTCACACGTGATACGGCTAGGTACAGCTTTGTAGCCGCGCACGCGGATGAGCCTCAACCAATCAGGATCGCCACGGACAGGTACGACAAAAGCTCCCCGTGAATGGTCATCTTCGAGTCTACCAACTATTTTCGCTGATTTAACATTTATACTAAACACTTCTGCAATTAAACTAACGTGCTATTTCGCACCCTTGGTCTTCTTACTACTTTCGTTCGCGTAGTTCTGGGTGGGTGCAATATTAATACGTCCTGTCAATTCAGTTTGTTGTGATTACTACAACATCCTACCCAACAAAGTCAACTGGTAACTGCTTGTGCCCATTCCAGTCACGTGATGGATGAATATCGCTTACTTAGTGCTAACTTACTGGGGTCTTGTGTGGCTCCTCACTTCAAACCTATGGATCGTGTTTTCTAGTTACCTCGATGGTTCAAAGTGTGGTCATAAGGTATACCTCTTGCATTGTATTCAAATCCATGTATGGAATAAAAAAGTACAGTTGCTATTGACCAGTTTCAAGGACAACATGCGACGGATTTGTTATAAATTGTACCGTGTTCAGCAATCTAACTATAATAAGCACCTTGAGATTATTGTTGTTTACCGATACCATCCGTAATAGTAGTATGTTGATGAAAACGACCAAAAACGTAACTGTCTGATAATTCCCACTCAAATTCAATGATGCCCGAAGGGTTTTCAAATGGGACTCAAATAATACCGTACTCAAAACTTGATAGTTCTAGCATGACTTTTTCGCACAAACAGAAACACGGACTTGGTACATTTCCATTTGAACCGAAGGAATAAGCACAATGACCATTTCATCAGTTGAAAATAGCTCCTATTTCATCTGCGCCATACTTTGAATCCTCAAGGCACGACTTGGCGGTAGCTGCATATCTTTACATACGAAGGTCGACAGTTTCACTTGCTCGAAACTGGGCACTGAATGCACCTTAGGTGCATCACTAGCATCAAAGAATCGTGCAACAGAACAACGATATTGCGTTCCAGCCGATCGAACTGATAACGGTGATCGACTCATTCAACTATCTTTCGACCATGGACTATCCCTAGTGAGTACAAATTTCTCGCACAAAAAGCGACACCGGTTAACCTGGCGTCCTCCTGCGTCTTCACAGCGTTGGACTCAGATCTCCTGCGAAAACCACAGGGAAATAGGTGTGGTTTGCACTGAATCCAAACTGCTCCCTGGCATTATTCTCCACCGCTTACCTAACGCTCGCGAACGGTGCTCGCGCGAGAATCAAGCTGGGTTTCGACCTGGTCGAGGTTCTTTTGATCACATCTTCACTCTTCGACAATTATTAGAACATAGACACACCTTCCGTAGGCCCATTATCTCCGTTTTTCTTGATCTTTAGGTGGCCTTCGACTCAGTCGACCCCACAATTCTCTGGCGCTGCCTCTTGTTGAAGGGTGTACCAGAGAAATTCATTCCTATCGTAAAATCCCTTCACATGAATAGCCGAAGTTGAGATCGGGCATACGGTAATCTTTCACCAGAGTTCACCACGAGAAATAGTGTACGTCGAGGTTACCCCCTTTTTCCTTTTCTCTCTAACTTTATGATTGATATGGTCTTAGAGACCGCACTTTTGTCAGGTGAGGATAGCTGCATCGAACTTTCCCGGCTGGAAAGGTATCAGACCTTGAGTATACGGACGACATAGTTCTTCTAAGTAAAGATCCAGGTAAGTTGCAAGCTTTTCTAGACAGCCTGACGGCTTCAGTGGCGATGTTCGATCTGCGTTTTGCACCTTCAAAGTGTAAGATGCTGTTGCGGGGACAGGGTTGGTCCAACGCCAAACCTTCCAATGTCTGGGGAGACTATAAACGTGGTAGACAAATTCTGTTATTTGGGGAGCTGCATCTCACCCAGATGTCGGATATCGGATCAGGTGTCTCTGCGTATACAGAAGGCTCGTTTGGCATTTACCGACCTGAGTCACCTGTGACGTTGACATGACATCCGTTTACCTATCAAGGGTCGGGTGTATGCTGCAGCAATCAAGCCCGTGCTTCTATATGGTTCGGAGGCATAGCCACTGCGGGTGGAGGACATACGAAGATTGTCGGTATTTGAACATCGATGTATTTGTAGTATTGCTCGAATCTGGTGGGAACACTGTGTGAGCAATGCTGAAGTTCGACCGAAAGCCCTAGGTCCATGGACCAAATCATTAGATGAAACACTTTGTGGTGACCTCGATCGTTCTGAGAAAATAACGGTTTTCTGGACACCATTTTGGATCTATTTTCTCTACGATCTTTTCTGACGTTTGACATCGACCTCATTGTCTTGTTCGGTTGCGTACATTTTACTAGACTGACCTTTCCGAGGTTTCCGTCGACCTCGTTTTGAATCACTTTCACTTTCGGTCGTTCGCCGATTTTTCGCGCTCAGGGTTCGCTTTCTGCACAGCCGTCGCGTTCGTTTTCCATTCGGTGTATCTCTCGTATCGGTACTGTTTCGGTGCCACGATATACAGAATACACCTTGCATCTGTAAACCGACTTGCGCCTTCTCTATTCGTCCGATAGAGGGGATATCGTTGGTATTTCGCTGCCAGACCGAACAAGAGGCACGTTCACTAGCCGCTCTCGAACGTCTTCTATAACTTAAGCTTACCAGGCTAAGATGGTTGGGATATGTGTTGCGCATGTCCCCTGACAGGATCTCATGGCGTGCTATGTTTTCTGAGGTGGTTGGAAGATGAGTAAGGGTAGTCAGTCCATGACATGGGAGAAAGGTGTGAAAGCCTAACTAGTGGACTTGACCATGTATGGCGTGTTAGACTTCCTGGGTGGGGTCTAAGGGACCCTCCCACTCAATGGTTAGATACGTTGGGGGACATGGCTGGATGCCGCAATCAGTGGCGCTCTTGTGTTCACAAACTTTCTTTATCGACTTAATTCCATTATTGTAGTTCTCTGCTTACTCCTTTCATACTCTTTTCTTCCTCAATATTTCCTTTTGAGATTGCCGCTAGGAGATAGCAACCAATTCCACCGCACCCATTGCATGGTTAATGGTTGTCTGAACAGAACAGTAGAACAAGTGGTTAGATATCCAACCAGCTGCATCTTATCAATTGACCGATTAATAAATCGTTCCAAACCACCGACAAACAGAAACACAGCGCTTCGGTCACAAGCAGTAGAGTTCAATGAAATGTAGTTAAGCCAATGTGCAAATTCTAAACCAATAACGAGAAATGGGTCAATGAGACAGACTTTCAGGGGACGGGTTATGCATTGATATGCATCAATGACCATGTGCTACCGAATCGGAACATCCTATATAGGTTGCAATCAAAGTCAGAATTGAGAAATATTTTAAGATGAGTTGATTTTAAATGAGTGAAAAGAAAAGGACCGAACACTCAATAGACACACATACCCAACTGGTCCAGTACGGCATATAGCCCAAATTGCTCGGATCCAAATATACCATACCGCAACGAGAAACAGTTGCCGGGCTGGCATATTGTAAATCGCTCACTTCGAACAACAGTGAACAGTACGGTTGTAGACGAATTCGTTCACCATTGACCAAAGTGAGCAGTTTATTATCGTCCATCACAGAGTTCATATTCTCAATCCACAACGCATCTACATCCCCGTCAAATGTGAGAAATCGTCGCTCAACAGCTTCCGTGACTTGATTAATCGAACGAAACAGAAATGAGAGCAATCCATCTAACCATTCTCGAGTTGCCGGATCCAGATAGCCGTACAAATCATTCACACTTCGATCTTTTGGATTAATTGTGTACATCTTCGTATTGATGCCGGTTCTATCGATTTTTTCAAAGGTCAATTTGAGAAAAAAAACAGGGAGGATACATGGTCAAATGTTCGCTCAACTATCATTCATATTTGTACCTAGGTTTTATCCATCGGGTTGCACGTAATTCACTCCAATTAGCTTGTTAGGAACTATGGAAAATACATATTCAGCTATGGGTCTCGCGAGATACAACTCATCCACTTAGAGTGGTTTATCCACGAAGTGCATATTTCAAAGAAATCCCGGAGTTTTTTATAAAGTGGTCCCGATTCAGTTTTTGTTCAGATCGTCGGTAAATTCGCACGGGAAAATGACTACTCTCGTTTCATTGGTTTTAAAAGCTGATATTGACGGTAGCTCAGGTTGATGGCTTTTATCTGGCTTTCCTGTTCGATTTGATCTACCGTAACAAAACAAATCGTAGAACTGTCGATACAAGTGAGTCACCGATCTTGACATCTGGTTGCCTGTTATTTTAACGCGGACTTTGCCGTTGTTTCAAATTTCGAGAATATGAACACACTTTGTTCAATATATTACAGTACAGAATTCGTTCTTCCGGGCCCTTATCAAGAAATTGGGACAAAACAAAACAGGTCGGCACACACGTCAATTTCTTCCCACACCTGCTACAACTTTTAAACTTCCTTCCACGTTACAATGAAGAAAATTCTAATTTCTACCTTTCTTATAATGTGGCAAAGCATGTTGAAAGGAAAATTAGTTCTCTCGTTTATTCGTGAAATACAGGACCATGTTCTACGCAGACAACGCCGTTGGTGTGCTAAGTGAACTGAACCAAGTGATTTGAATCTAGGAAAGTTACAGACTAGAATGATACCAATGAAGTGTCCTCGTACTCAAATTGAATTTCTCCTACAAGGAAATCCAACTGAAGTTGGATGCCTCCGACAAACGTGACTCCGCTTAAATGTCGAAGGTGTATGCCATTCACAAACAAATCTAATTCCATTGAATAAGTGTGTCTGATATGAGTTGTTGGTGTGGGTGTGTACAGATGAAAGTGAATGATGTCGTAACGTTAATTCAGTAAATTTGTGAAATTCCCACGCAGTTCTCTTTTCTCACTCTTGTGACTTTAATCAGCGTGTTACTCGTCCTTTCCGACCGAACAGACATATACATCTTCCCTCATTTTTTCCTACACTGAGTCCGGTTAACGTGCCTCGGTTCATCTACTGTTTCCCTATGAGTGTACTTTTACATTGGACTGGTTTGCCATTCTGGTCAATCTAGAGATCTCCGACCTTCGAGTTTTTCGTGAATCATACGTACCTGACCATGTGTGTCACGTCATCCCACGTTCTTTGTCGGCCTCACCCGCACTGTGCGGATGGCCTTTGGATTTTCATCCCATGCTAAAGATCATGCCACATCAGCGTGCTGGTCTGGGTCAAGCGTGCGTACAATTCTCTTGGTCATTGTCCGAACTAACTTCATGGTCACATCTCCGTCCATCCGTCGTATGTACGCACCACTCTCCTTCTCTGACTGGTCGATTTTCCTTCCTATAAAAGCTGATTTTACCCTGTACTGAGGACTCGGTCCCGAATCGCTCGGCCTGCATTTCTAGCCAGATTATTTGAACGACCTGATGTCTATTCACGGACCCTTGTTATTGAATTGCCCCACAAGACTGATTACTGTAACTGAACCGCTGCCCAGTGATTGAGCGACTCTTATAGCACGAATCCGAAACCCAAAGTAGAATAAGGCGAGTCGGTAATCTATGTGCGGGTGGCAGCATGACGCATTCACGAATGGCTTTTGTCGCCCTTCCCCGGCAGTAGTGAATCAAATAAAGAGGTAGTTGATCTTCTCGTTTTACCTTACTCTCGACATACATTTCAAATTGACGGATAAACGTCCAGTATTCTTTCAGATCTCCGTCGAAGCCGATTGGTTCTACTTTCGACAGGTCTGGATTATCGATGGCGGGTGATATCCCTTGGTGGGGTTCCTCGGGTTCATTAGTGATGAGCTCTGCTATAGCCACCTCCAGAGTGTTGCGTGTGCAGCAAGCCTGTACTTATTTTTCTACCCGAGAAGTTTTGTCTAACAATTCTGGATCCGGTTCTTCAAGCCGCTCCCCCATGTCCCACGACAACTTTGCTAGTTCTACTTCATTTTAAACCTCTAGAAGCTCCCTCAACCTTCTGATCTCCTGCTCCTTTGCTTCTAACTTTAATCTAAGCCCTCAGTAGGTTCGAACGAGCAAGGATAGCTAGAAAACTAGAACTACGCCTAGAATCATGGCGTGAAACAGTGTCTGAGGGGGGCTCGCCTGTCATCGTAGTCCTCGTATTTCAACTGACTTCTGCTCATTGGCACTTTTTCTGCAGCTAACCCACGGTCGTAGAGAATTGGCTAAATTGGGAACTGAATGCAGACGACACCAGTCAAAAGTGATTGGTAAATTGGTTACTCAGCCGATTGCAGCATTTGATTGGAACAACTCAGAAGGGTTAGTGCCAAACTGAGTACTCGTCCAGAGTGAGTACTGTGGACTACCGGTAAGATTCACAATTGAGTACCAGCCAAAATGTTCGCACTCCCGACATGGAGACCTGTCAGACAGATACTCACCAGTATGAGTGAAGCGAAAAACTGAGTACTCTGTCTGGACGAGTACTCAAGTTTGGCCCCTCCGGTGGTTTACACTCAATTCGGATTCGTACCCTAAGAGTCACTCAATCACTGGACATTGGTTCAGTTACAAATTTTTTTCACTGATTCCACTCAAACTGCGATGTCTCGTTTGTGGGAAATTCTATTCTGGGCCTCCCAATTCTTCTTGCCTATCCTTTCAACCCCGGAAGATGACTGAAAATCTACCCCGGAAAGAAAATAAACGGCACAACTGTGTTCAGATAGTCAAACGCAAATGAAAACGAACAGACTCTGTAGAGGTCCAGTATCTGCGATCAAAGTGTGGATCCGTGTTCTAGTCTGTGTTCCACACCCGCTCTGGCATTGCGACCTCTGATAACGTTCGGCCTTGTTCCGCACCAGACATAACACTGGGACCTCCATACGGCAAACGTACGCGGCCCATATTTATCATGTTACGGTATGCCCACATTTTCTCTCTCTTACTGATACATACACACGCACACAGTGAGAGAGGGAGGCTCAGACAACTCATCTGTCTCACGTTTCTCATTGGTCAGAACTGTAACTGATCACCGTATTATTCTTTTCATGTTCACCTTTTGACCTTTACAGCCGCATAGTGTACCTCACTGCACGTGATCCCATGATCTCAATCTTTGCATTCTTGGGTGTACTTGACTAACCAGCTGGGGAGAATTGTGACAGGATCCATAACACGTCGGGATGCTTGTGTATGATTAATTCATCTACAAGTCTAACCAAAAGGGAAACTTACATTTTCAGTGCACGACAGTACACTTCCAACACCACTGTCTTCCCTCCACACGTGGGTCCCACCAACATAACAGAATGTCGAAATTGGAGAGTTTCATGCAGTTGGATGACTTTGTGTATCTTTAATTTGAATGAAAGAACAGCAATTTGGTATAAATTCACGTCAACAAAAAGGCTTGATTATTGCAAGTTATGGATATTACTATTGGCTAATGTCTTAAAGGAGTCATTTATTTGAAATGGTCATTGCTCTTGATCAAACGTGTTTACGCACGAATTTTAATAAACGGAGAAAAAATGATAACAGACATGCACAGACAAAAGGAAAAACAGGTAGGCAGGCAGGCAGGCAAGCAGGCACACAGACAGGCACGCATATACACAGACAGACATATAGACAGACGGAGAAACAGACAGAGGGACCGGCAGGCAGACAGACAGACAGACAGACAGACAGACAGACAGACAGACAGACAGACAGACAGACAGACTCACTGACTGACCGACTGACTGACTGACAACAAATTATTTGAAAGTTCACCCATTTTGCTGAGACAGCTTTGCCAGTATGGGCGCTGTGGGTGGATAGAATGTGGACTACCGGTAAAATCACCTAAATACCAGTTTCAGCTGTGGAGGCATTGTACTGCTTCTACACCATTTAGATTTCAAGTAAAAAGACTGAAGTTTCAAATGAAGCCACTCTTCACATTTGGATGCATAGATTGGTCTGACAGTATTCATTCGGATCACCTATCCCTCGAATTTCCGTACTCCCGCAATCGTGATGGTCACTTTCATCAAGAATGGACCCAACTCTCATTGATGAGTGCAGAAGTATATGAGAAAATCAATACAAGAATGGGAGCTTGTTTCGTCACCGTCGTCGGTCACTCTCCCCAAATGGCGGCCTCCATTTAGCAGCTACCTCGGTTCTTGAGATACTGTACTGTGACTATGCCTCCAGCGTCACGTATTGGGGTTAGGAGAGGAGGTGATTGAACAGCGCTCGTCGCGGCGAACTTCAGATTGCCAGTAAATGTGTTGTAGAATAAGCAATGGAAGTAAAAGATTACTTATCACTACTATTCTGACTATGATTATTATGATTATTTAGTAATAATAACGTCATTAAACAATGTATTTCATAACATTGGTAAAAAGCATTGTTCCATGTGAGTAACAATCCACGTACCGCGTTAAATGAAGTAACTGAGGCACTTGCACAGGATTGATGATGGAGGTCATGTTGTCAATTACCAGACTTGTGAAAAACCTAACAATTAATGGACACCACCCAATAGAAATGGAGTCAAACAAAAGAACAGGTTTGACGGACCTTGCGTTTGATAACGACTCTTATTCTGGGTCAGAAACTAAGAAACAGTTATTTCCAGTTCAAAGCGATAATTTCAGATCAGACATACTTGTTCATCTACTTCAGTATACTGAAAATGATGTAGCACGTCTTTGGTTGCGTCGACCAATTCGGCAATCATCGGTGGTGGCTCGAATTCAATTCCGGGGAACAAATCTTGAATAAGACCCATGAACAATGGAACATCTTCACGAATCAATTTCGGCATATTTGAGTCACGAAGTGCACGCATTAATAGTTGATCCTCGCGTAAAGATGGACTTGTACGTCGCATATGTCCGGCCATCACGAGTAGTGAACGAAGGGCACGCAAACCGAAATCGTAGTGGTACTGCTGGGACAGTTGTTCTTTTGCCAGTCGATATAAAGCAGTCATTTTCTTGGCCAAATCCTTTTTTTTCAAACAATATGAAAACAAGGGAAATAATTCCAGTGGGTGTGAAATCACTAGGGGAATGTCTAACCCGAAAGCATTGCTAAAAGTTATAGGATGAAATGATGGACATTCAAAGTAGACCATTAGATGAAACACTGAAGTTCACCAGGCTCCTATATTCTCTGGGACATATGTTGCACACGTCCCCGGAGAGATTCCCTCTGTGTACAATGTCTGTTGATACGCTACAAGGTGGCTTGACTAGAAGACTTGGCCCTGCATATCAGGTTCCTTTTGCGAACTCCCAGGAACCCATTACATTGGGTGATTAGATTACGTTTGTTACCCCAATCATTTTACTTATGCTTTGCTTGGCTGACTGTTTTTTGAACTCTCCACCATTCACGCACAAACCTCGGGTCATCCAATCAATCATGCACTCGGAAGCACCAGGCTCGAGTTTCGCTCTTGTTAAAGGTCATCAGTAGTGCATATCCTCCGCCGCACCCAGGATTTGGATCGGGGCCTTTTCACCTCGAAGGTGTACATGTTACCACTGCGCCTCCCTGTTGCCGCCTGGGCTGGTCCGTACCATCGAGTTAAACTGGTTTAGACGTCGTCCTCCAATAATGTATGAGATCCCAAATCCGTTCGGAGTGCATCGAAAAAACGACGCGCCATGTGAGATGTTATATGTAGCGTTTAGTGTTCGGTAACACACCGTTATCGGAAAAGATGGTAGTCAGTCGACGTTTCGATTACCGCGGGTAACCTTGCCCAAGACCAGTTTGCAATCTTAAGAAAGGTTACCTGCGTTAACCGAAACGTCGACTGACTACCATCTTTTCCGATAACGCTGTGTCGTCCACTATGTTTAGGAAAATGTAAATTCAGTTGCATTCTTCAAAAGACACATCTTCGGATTTCATACTGACTTGCTTTAATTTCAACAGTGCTCGACGAAGGCCTTCTCAATAAACCTAAAGAAAGATTATAAATACAGGCAGAACGAATTAAAAGCCTATGGGTTCAATCGAAACTTGAGTTTATAACCTTTCAAAAAGATTTAGATTTATTGTCCAGTTACTCGCGAGTAGTGTGGAACAGTATTGATATCGACCATAGATGAATGAACCCACACAACAGTAAAGTGGATCACCACAAAAAGGCGTGCAAGAATAGCGCATTCTACTTTTCACCGGAGAATATTCGTTTTCAGAAGGGAAATTAGTAGTTTAGCTGATATAATGTGCCGTTGGCTCTTTGGCTTAAGAAGTCAGTGCGTTCGGCTGCAATCCGGAAGGTTGGCTGTTCGAGCCCACCCGAGGGCGCTGTTCTGTTTTCGAGGCGTTCTGGAGGTGCATTCGTGTCGGAAATATGGAATGAGAACTTTCCGCGAATTTTTTTCGGGAGCATATGGATGTACCGACCGGTAAATGTGACAGGCCGCCGTAGGTAGCTGCCTGTGATCTACTGTCTCGTGTCCTACTTTACATGTTTATGCATACACCGTCCATTAATAACAGTGGTCAGTTAAACTAACGCTGCAGCGGTGTGTGGCTCAAGGTTTTAAGTTCAATTGCAGCCTGGAAAACAACCCGAAAACTTTGGTATTGTACTCGTGTATAACTACACACAAAGTGAATTGAGGAAGACAAACTAAAACGGGAATAAGCCCTCATTTGTGTCCAATATTTTTGAATGATCGGGCCAGGTCTAATCAACACACTGAAGCTTTCAGTACCGCGCTACACTGCGACGTTGGGCTGCGCGAAGAACGACTGGGTGCAAAACAGATATTTATCTCCAATATGGGGAATGAATTCCAGATCATAAAAGAAAACAAATAGCAGACGAAGGAAAGAAAACGAAATTAAAATGTATTTTGTCCAGTAATGAAACCACAAAATGATGAACGGGCTTGTCGTAGACATTCGACACGAACACGTACACCGATTCAAAGGTTGAACATTCAGCCACAGAGAAAGACTTATGTGTGACTCCATAATTTCGGAGGGAGGTATTGCAGATGCATTCGTATAACCAGTAATTAAACATTGCTTTCCTGCTACCATGCTTCTCATAACCCTTTTGTTCAGCTAACATTTATTCGATAATTCGATATCGCCCAGCTTCCTGTGTTTTGGTTGGTCCTCAATTGGCAAATCACGTTCGTTTATGTATCATACTGAGGTCACGTGTCAGGCGACGAAGCAGTGTGCTTCTTTTTCGATGAAGCGTTGCTAGGCACCGTTGTTGTTCTGATTTGCCACTTATCGACCTTAACAATACCTCAATCCTAATCCTATCTTATTAGTAATCCTATAATATCTCCTGACTACTTTGTACTGATCCAATCATATCTTGCTTTAATTCAGGAAAAAGTGGCTGGATGGGCAAGCTAATGCTTAAGAATTTCTAATCTGCCGAAAATCAAACTGAAAACCTGGGGTAGAAGAACGATGTGGAAAGATGCGACATTCTGAGGGTCAAATATCCCCAGGAATTGCGGGAATCCAGTGTGACACCTGCCAGACATGGTTCTGCACGAAGTGCACAGGACCGAGCAAGAAGTACTACTTGGTGTACTGCCAGTATGAAAACTCAGCCGAATATGCCCACGATGTAAGAAACTAATTAAAACAGGTATGCAAGTCGTTGATGAAGTGTTGGTCATCGGGAAAAAGACAAAGCTAGATACATCCATAGAGCAAAGGTTGGGAGAAGAAAAAGGCAACGACGGACTAAAATCGCCGTCAGGTAAAACAAGTGAATGATCCTTGGGCAACTATATATATATATATATATATATATATATATATATATATATATATATATATATATATACATATATATATATATATATATATATATATATATATATATATATATATATAGGACTGGTTCCTTAGCCATTTAGATAAGTGAATGTATTTCGATAGCTCGAGGATAACACGTACAGTTGATGTAAGAACACCTCCATCAATGTCATCAGTTTATTTGTGTTGTAACATTTAATGCCGTCAAACGGATTGTGCCACATGGTTTGATGATACGGGCGCATCGTCTAAACTGTTTCCAATATATTTGCGGTGCATCACTTGATACAATCGCTACGGTAAACTGCGCAGCATACGATCGTCACACTTTCTCATTTGTTCAGTCAGGTTTGAAACACCAATCTTTGTAGAACAAAATTGTCCTAACATTTATTGGTGTCGTAATATTCCGATACTTTTGATGTGACTGGCTGGCGACGGGGTGGTTGAACGTTGTGGGTCAAGGTAAAAAGATTGCGGATCGTGACTAAAGAATGGTGGGTTGTGGTTAAGTAATAGCGGGTTTTGGTAAAACTTGATGGGGAAAGCTGTAGAGCGACGTTCGTGTCGAAGGAGACACTGGCTCTTGGTAAAAACCAAATAACTCTCCTTTTTTCATATTTATTTGCCGAAGGTTCTTGATTTTTCGTGGTGATGGGTTTCGTACGTTTCCTCCAAATTTCTGTACAATCTGTCAATCCGTTCCCATTCTAGGAACACTCAAGCCGCTTTCGATGACAGAAGGATGATAATTCCGCCTGGACATTAGTGCCAGTTTGTTCTATCTGATCCATCTTCACACAGGCTGATGATTGTACCGATTCAACTGCTGACCCAGTTACGTGTCTGACATGGAAACTGGATTCGCCGAAGTTGCATTGTTGGATGTTCTTTCTCGTCAAGGCAAGGTACCAATAACGTATCATTCTGAAGGGAGGAAGTACATACTATCTGGATCGCATCAACTGCGTTGCTTTCAACTGATTGTATTCAGTTGAATTCATTCAGTTCATGATGTCTACGTGGGCTGTGACTCGAGAGGAACCTATGTGGTTAACTCTGCGAACGAAAAGTGAAGAATCTGAACTGTAGGTTCTAGAGTTCTCCAAGAAATCCGGAAGGCGTATACAAAAATATACATACTGAACTGAACGCCTTCAGTTTATTTTTGACAACTCAGAGCTACGCCTTGTGCTGCAGTAAACGAAGTGTTCCGGACTGTAGTTGTCAACGAACGAACTGAAGGCTTTTACTGGATTAAAATATCCGCGAGGTTTTTTTATGGTAAAATCTATTCCGTTTCATTCTCATGAATGGAGAACGGGATCGTAGCTGTTCCCGAGACTAATGACCCTTGACAGATCATTGTCTACTAACGCGTCGTATTCGATAACAAATAGGAGAAAATTAATTACACGCATGTTGAACTAGTCAGATAAATTTGGCATCAAATCGAATTATGCTAACGCGATGTTGCCGTACATGGGAGCATTTGAAACGGATTTGAGATGTGATTGATCTCCAAAATAAGACGTCCTTTTCCGGGTAATGGATTGTTTGTGGAACAACGGATAGCTGTTTTTGCTAAACCTCAGCTGCCCTACAGATGTGTGTGACACCTTATGTACACGATGCTTCGATATTTCGCGAACTTAATCCGTTATTCTGACTTGTGCAAAATATATATTATTTGGGGTATTTTATTTGTCAGAATGTTGTTTGGAAACAAATATTTACGAAAAGTGTCAAATTATCTCGTTTCAAACGGTGGTGGGAGTCGAACTGTGGTGGTTCTTGTTCAAAGTTCACGATGATAACCACTTAACCACGGCCGATCGTATCCCTATTTGACAGCCTTTCATCGGCCGCGGCTTCCTTTCTGAATGCACCTGTAGTAGCCAAATGTGACTGCGAGAATTTGAGACCGATTCTGGCTAGCGACGACGGGTACTGTACTGAGGTTCAAATCTCAAAATCGAGAGCAAACTGATCTACAAAAATCTACGACACTGATTTCCAGTGATCATAAAATTTACTAATTAATCACACCTCTAACGGTGAGCCTCAGTCGCTAGCCGGCCGAGGTTCCGAAAAATGACATGACAGAAAATCTGCTAATACTAGTCCATCCAAGAGAAAAAGCTGCGCACACTTACCCAGGCCAAACAAATAAAATTTCTGAGTGTGCCAGCCAAAAACGAGTTCAGAGCGGTCAACCGAAACAGAACCGTATTAAAACAAACAGAAATAAAACAGTCCGTTTCGCTATCAGGCGAAATGGTAAAAGAGCATAGTATAAAAGACTCGTCTAACGATAGAAGAGGTAAACCCAATGTTCAAGACGCAAAATGTGCTAGCGCTAAAACCAGTGTTGTCAAGACTAACGCTGGGCTAGTCATCAAAAACGGTTTAGCAGAAAACAACGGAATGAGGAATTTTCAATTGCACACGATGTTACACGTACTGATTACGCGTTGGTCACGCAACACTTCACACGTTGACAGTGCGGTCGTCATCGCAGTGCGACACGTAACCGCTGTATTTCCTGTCCCCTTGATGGGGACGTAACTTTGTTCAGACAATTTTAAGATCGGGCATATTCATGCATTTACGGATGCACTAGTGAAGCAGTACCAGAAGGAGCATTAAAATAACGGAGCGTGCTAAACGGGTCTGAAATGGATTAACCGCTGGTCAATGGGCTGAAGTATGGAATTGTTTCAAGTAACGATACAATCAATTATAACGCAACCAATTCATTACGTATCCCACTCGACGGCACTCTTGTGCGTGTACGACTAGTGCCCCCGAAATACCTGACAGTGTTGTAAACAAATCAACTACTGAACGTTAGTCGTGAAGTGATAGCCATAAGTGGATTATCATGCACAAGCATTTATATTCATTCAGTTTACATACATTGGACGACTACCACGCCAACTGACTTTCCAATATCTCCTCCATTTGTGGCAGTCTAGGACCAAGCAGAAACAAGCATGCTGGTGAAGACTTTCTCAAAAGAAAGCTAATATGAGTGCATCATACAAATTGCAAATACACTCGTGCTGACCGATTATTGCATTGTTCGTTGTATATTTTCTTATTGTGACGACTTCCGCAAATGAGCAAACATTCCCGCATAAAAGGAGGTTAACCGATAACTTCAAATTTGAAATGAGGTCAAGCAAAGTAACATGGTTCACCCGCCGGGGCTTGTGCGACTTTTCTCTGTAAATTTCACCTTGCAAACCGTCTCGCACATGCTAAATAAGCCACTGCAGAGTGACAATAGAAATTTACATGAGAAGGTATAAGTCTAAATTAGGAACGTATCCGGGGGTGCGAACGGTATGCAAGTAAGTACTCGGTCTAATGTGATGCAATCCATGTTAAGTAAACCAGGGGAGTAGTGGAGTAATATTGATACAAAAGATTGGTGAGGGAAATTTAGAAAACTAGTTTGTTTGACCTCAAGCTATGTGAACCTATGAATTTAAAAAGAAAGCCGACGTTTATTTTTCTTACACAGTTCGTAATATGGGTAGACCAATGTAAGCACGAGCTAATCGCAAGGCCCAATTATTTGGTCCAGGTAGCTCTCAAAACCAGGACATTTGATGAACGATTGTTCACTTTGGTTGTGAGGGATAAGAGAAAGCATACTGAAAAAAGAATTTGTTCTGATTTAGTCCAGAGTGGAACAATGTGTATATTCTCATGAAAGAAGTCAAATCTGGTGGATTGTAATTAGCTTAATGGAGCACCACGTCATCGGAATACTTTAAAGGTCGTGCAGGTGATGCAATGTATAGGTCACTGAAAAACTTACTGGCGGACGTGGTTATGGAAAAATGCTCATAAAATGTGTTTTCGACAAGCGGTGACCGAATGGCTATCGTCATGGATTTTAGAAAAATATCGACCCGGGTTCGATTCCCACCACCATCGGTCAGTTTCCCATTTGGAGGTCTTTCTTTACCCGCGGCCCCCTTCTTGAGCTATTTTACTTCATTGTATGATAAATAGAAAGGAAGTAAAAAAAACCATACAACGTAATTGATAACTCGTCTGGTTAAAAGACAGTTGCACAACTTACACGGGCGGTGAGAAAACCTTGGGAGAACAGCATTATCTCGCAAATGTACTCCAAATCCGGTACAATTACCACAACTGGCCGAAACAGAGCTTTTAACGACTCTGGTAATTCTGTACGACCAGCGTAACCAGGATTCATCGTGATAAAAATACCCACTCTTCGATCCAGTGGAACTTCGACCCCTTCGAACTGTAATTGGGAGAGTGAAGGAGTAAGAATATACAATAAAAATGGTGTCCATGTACTTCAATCACCCAATTTCATGTATTATTTCGAGAAATGTTCTTTATGGTGATTTGGGAGCGAAACCATATGCTTCAGACTAACTTTTATCAATAAATACAGGTCCTGAATAATCAGATCCGTCTAGAGTCGATCAGTAATATCATCCCACTGGAACTGAATAACACTGTGATTGATCGGCACGTCGCCTGACAGTAGTGCTATAATATCACGAGGCATTAGTTAGGGGCTCTAACGCAGCTGCGATCAACACCAAATGATGATCGATGATCCACAGAACGGGCACTGGGTATATCTAATAACATGCTACAACTTTGTTTCACTTTTATGGTGGAATGCAAAGCGAAATAGCATAATACGGTACTCTTATCTTATGCTATTATTTCTCACATGATTAGATGCCTCACTAGAAAGTTATGCTGTCATACGGATCGGATAGTAGAATATTATTACCAAAAAGGAAAAACATGAAACTGGAGTTTAGAGGATGAGAACGAGAACGACAATTCAAATATCTGGTACATCACTGGGTGAAAATCAAACGCAATTAATTGTGAATGAGATATAAAACTACCATATGAAGCAGCATTTGGCTTTCATGTAGAATGCAGTCCGCAACTAACTCACTCAAAATAATTTTTAAAAAACAGCAAAAGCCATCATGTCGGTGTTAGTGTTGCGGCACCCTCGTTTATTCATCTGGAAGATATAGATTACATCCGTGATAGCTAAGATTAATAAACAACTGTTTTGTTGATCCTTCGATTGAGGGTAGTCTGCGTTGGATTTTTCATCAGATCAATGGTATTTACTTCAAATCTGACTACTGGAAGTTACGACAGTAATAAAAACTGGAATTCGTGAAATTTGAAAAGGAACCAGGATTATGTTTGCACTTGGCAGTTCACATGATTCCCTTTGCTGAGTGATTAGGACAGCCACGAGTGAAACGATGCCATCATGATTGTTCCTATTATTCACAGCATAGCGGACGTACACTCTTGAGTCGTTTTTTTGTTGTTGGAAGAACGGGGACACAGTTACGAAACCGTTTGACTGAACATACGCCGGAGTGCGTTCAAAGGAGCGTTCAACGCAGAAGACTGGGTGAAGCACGTGACACATGGCACTTATGCATTCCAGATAGCAGGACATATCTCAGGAACAAACTACAAGGCCTACCTCGACCGGTTATTTGTGCATACTGTGCCCGCACTTGAGTTCTCGATTTTTTAAGTTCACGCAGACGACAGCTATCAACAGATGGTAAGCCATCCCATACTAACAAAATATACTTATCCCCGCCTAGATCACCTTGGCAGCTGAGCCGGGACTACTTATTATCGAAGTGGTCACCTCCAACGAAGACAGAAACTAGGATTAGGGTACTCACAAAAAAAGGACATAACTGGACTTACTTGAAATGTGACGGCTTTGGCTTGCAAAGCGTTTTGAATGGACTTGATCTGAGACGAGACAACAGACAACACGGAGACTTCAATCCGATTGAATTCATCAAAACAGCCCCATGCACCGGACCGACACAGCCCGGACAACAGTTTGGCAAACGACTTTTAGTAGCACAAGAAGCCGGGAAAACGGAAATATAACAGTAATAAGGGTACCAAATGAGCCGTTTCAATACGATGTGGGATTCAAAGAAATAATGGAGAACCAAATTTTGTAGAAGAATAGTCATCTGTCGAAGAAACACTACTTCAAAAGTGATGTCATCTAAGCATCGACAGAAATAAAAGCATTTTACTGACTCAATACACAAAAGAATGTCACTTAGTCCAACGCTTTGATAGTAACCTAAATTTCTGGATGGTCGGATGATAATATCGTTTTGTAACTTCATTTCCTAAAAAGCTCATCTGCTTTAGTTCGAAGTAGCCTGAGAAGCCTAAGCCTAAAAAGCGGATCCCACTTTTCAACACGAAATGTTTGTTTCTTACTATTTTCGGAAAGAATAAAACAGCGTACAATATCCCTTTAGACGTAACGTTCAAATTTGTTCACTTGTGGCAAGTATATCAGGCCGCGTGTAAATAGAATTACTTTACGTGATCAGGGAAACAGGCACACGCCCTCGGAAGTGCACGATCGCCTACACTATACCGTACTGACCGTGCTGGTCTATGGGGTCAATATAGTTAAATTGACGGACCTCGGGGTGGGCCACCGGTTTTCGGTTGACTTTGATGTCTAACGACCATAGGATGCACTGGATGCCGTCAGAAGCTTCAATATACAACTGTAGCAGTAGTACAGCAGCTTTGACGTTGTTCTTGTTTAACCTTCTTTCGTCCCGAATACAAGAGTTGAGGAAACTTTTGAGTATCCATTATTTGCAAGCAACTTAAAAGTCTGGATCGTCCACATTCATGGAACTCGTTTGCACAATGGTGTGTCAGTTTGCATACAGTTTTTAAGTGACGGGTCTGACCGGTGGTGGTCGAGTGGTTCAGAGCATCTAAGTATCAGCTGGGAGCTCCGAAGTTCGAATTTCCCTCCATCGCCGGTTACTTTGGTGGAAGACAGTAATCCACTGTCATTCGGATCTCTACCACGCCTGAATTATTGGGACCTTATGTGGTTCTCCGTCACTCCAAGTTTCAGTTGCCGGTTATCCTTAATGGTGCAGTAGGCCTTCGTGGCTATGGGGTATACCCCTTCCACTGCACTCATTCGCAACCATGTAACGAAGCATAAGTCAAGTAATGCCGTCGACGTTCTACTGCAGCGTGATTCATATCCTAATAGGTAGTGGTCAAAATTCTGAATCAGATTCAGGATGTCTTTTATGTTGCAAAAATTAAATCCGAGTTAGATAACACGAATTATGCAACAAATATCCCTTTCATATGATGTGTAAGTTATATTGCCCACTGACTCAATGTAGCAACCAGCTTTAGTGACAGGCTTAGACATTTCAAATATGCGGACTCAGACGCAGGAAGGCCAGGCGATTCGACGGCATTCAGATGGTGCCGGACCGTCCCGACAAGCCAGCCAGCCCCGCCTTACACCAATCCCAGTGACGCAGTTAGTTCTATTCCGTCATCTCGACATTCCGGTAGAGTCTCAAGCCCAACTCAACGTTACCGAGCCGGTTTCAACTAGCGTGCTTTCAGCATCCGCATATGTTTGGCCCAATCACACAGACAGCAGACAGACAGACAGCCACGTACATAGCCATGACCATAAGCGTGGCTATCCGCACATGCTCGTGCTCGTGTGCCAATTAATCACAAGCCAATTGATCCTGAGTCACACTGATCATATCGTATCTGACTGCATTGGATTTGTCGCATCATTGCCGTTCACGCCACCTGGCTTGCTTGCGGCGCTGTGGATACACTGAATCACCAATGCATTTCATATTAATTCGGGAATACGGCAAAATTATTCGGAAATATGCCCAATAATTTGAATTAGGTTAAAACCATTTGGGAGCGCTACACAGTTGGTTGTATCAGATGTTCGTCTGATTGGTTTGTAACCGGGCCCATCAGGCACCCTTACACATTTCGCGCAGGTTGTCTGAGCATCGCACCATAATATGCGCTCACAGTTGCGCACGTGGACCCGACACTATCGGGACCGGAGCTAAGAGCCTCAGTAACTATGCCGAGGCCGAGAAGGGCTCGGTGACAAGGCTACAGAGGAAGGCCTCTCAATCGGGTTGCGTATCCTAAGTGGACAAAGTGGCCGAAGACTGACTTCAAGGTTAACAATGGGAAACGAGACCTACAGCGCGTTCACGACAGTACAACTGTATCCGATTTTCAACCAGTTTTCACCGTTGCTGCGCGGTGATAATCAACTATTGTGAACTCCACTTTTTCACTGTGCACCACATCAGGGTAAAACTTCCGTAACACCATTTTGACGGGTATGTTGAAGTAGGAGCACAAAACGAAAGCAGGGACCAAGCTATGATAACACCGATACGTCCGAACCAAAAATTACTTTCAGCACGTAATCTACCGAATCGAACTCTCATAAATGAACTCAGGAGAAGAACGCAACGGAATACTCACCCTGTTTTCGGTACTGTTCGCCAGTCAAAGAACGAGGCTAAATTCAGCAGAACTCATGCGGAAAGTACGTATCGGGTGAGAACTATCATACGGGACTGAGAAACGGTGCGACCAAGCTGAGAGAAGACCTGCAGATGTTTGCGTTTTTTTTGCAACTCCGACGATTTAGGATTTCACATTGTGGCGGAATAATGCACATGTATGTTGCAACTGAGAGTGTAAGCAGTGTGACATTACATTTTGATTGTTTTTAACCACATTTTCGATTTCTTATTGCTTTTCATCTATGCTGGAGGGAAAATGGTATGTTATCGTATGAGAAAGATTAACCGTAATTTTGAAGGAAATCTAACATGGTAAAGAACGGGATCTGTCTTGAACCTGAGACCGAGTGCCTCAGTTCACCTTTGAACCAGTAGAACGGGTGACGCGTGCCTAGATCCGTGTTATTTCATACTTGAGTTGATTCCAACAACTACTGTGGTGGCTTATCTGCAGCGCCTAATCATCACCCGTTAGATGGACGTGCATCAAAGAATCGATTTTCGCTTGTGGTGGAGGATTGCACTCAGCAAGGCAATGGGCGAAAGGAGAACATCACGGACCATGCTACCGTAAATTCTTGGTTCGAAACACAGATCCATTTTTGATACTCTACAGTAAAATGTATTCCGTCTGGTGCACGATTCTTTTGTGATAAATAAATGTGAACAAGTTGAAATCATAACAGTATTCTTACTCTAAAAGGACAACGCGGCTCGTGCACACATTCTGGTCGAATGCGCGCGCGGGTAGCTTACTCACTTTGTAATCCATATTCTCACCGCAGTTGGTCACCACACAAAGCAATCCGATTGCTTTTGCCAGATCTTTGATGGTCTCGGTTTTCCCAGTTCCCGCGGGACCAGCTGGTGCCCCGCCAAGGTAGAGCGATAAAGCCTGTGAGTGTATGGAGTCAGACACTAAACAGAATGAGCTTCGGTGAAATTTATTTTCCGCTATGCAACACTAATGGTGGAATATCCATCATGGAAAAACCGCCATGCTAACTTCGATTTCTCTTCGGCAATAGAAATACAGATCAGAATTAAGGAAACAGCTAGTTTACCTATATGGCCTGCCGTGTTCAAATGTGATATTGTTAGACAGCCAATAAAGGTGTGCACGCGTGTCTTGGCTCCCACCCACACCGCCATCCACACACATGTACACGCACGCACGTACTCAGACACGTCTCGTTTTCCGACCCTCACACCCATTCGTCCGCAGGCTGGACCGCTTTCCGCACGAGAGTTTGAAAAGGCACGAACACAGGATGGTGAACAGCCACTACCAGCACAATGGATCAGACCAATTGAGCCTTCTCGAACCTGGAAATCCTCAACGATATATGATGATATCATTACACTCGACTGGCCGACAGTGATATTGCTCTGATTAGTTTGAGCCCTGGCTAGGTAACTTATCTTTTCACCCTTCATTAATGTCAGCCACCGCATCTGTCACCCGCTAACTGTTTTGTAGTTGAGTAACATACACAGTGTGTTTACGCGACGCTCGAGTTATTTGGAGCAGTTTGTTTCAAAAGCATAAAATGATAGATTTTTCGTGTTTCATGCACAAGCGTTGCAATGCTCTGATTCGACGCGTCTGGTTTGTTTCATGATCAGTCAATTCACATATGATCACATTCACTATGGGCAAGGTGGACTGGCAAATTTGATGAGTACATTCAATATGCTACAAATTTGTTGATTCCGGGCTCTAAGACAAATTGTATATTCGCAAAATTTACAAATTGCCAATAATGTCGCGGGTCTGAGGGAGCATAGATAAGTGCGCTTGGCACCCTGGTGGTAGGTTAACGATGTTTGAAAGATAAGAAGATTGAATAAGCTGTAGCTGCAAACGCTTGCAGTTGATTTCGACCATCGACTCCCATAAGTCACAAGTTCGAGAAACCACCGGTTTTACGTCCTATAGCCAAGTTGGTATGTCAGAAGCACTGACGGTAATGCGAGTAGGTATCACGCACTGTAAATTTATCTTCGAATGTGTAACTGTATTGTCTTCAGCAGCGTAAGGATGTTCGCGGATTATTCCCCTCCATTTTTTGCGTTTTACTCAGCAGAGTGAGTGAAAGTAAAATCAAATAACAAAACAAATTTATCGACTGACTTTACTGGGGATGATGGTGGATTGTTCCTTTTTACCGTTTAGGACTCGTCCAATCAATATGGAAGGCGATCTGTTATGATCTGTTGTGGCGCATCGCGATGAACATGAAACGTGCGCTTCCGACATTTGTTGATTGTACAGTCTTCTACGCGAACTGTGATCTTAAAAATACCATCACGCCACCCTAAAGAAAATTAGCGTGCGCCAGCAATGCGAGACGATCAGTGGAACATGCTCAGTTACTGAAGCGTATTCAATCAGTTGACCTGTGAAACCGCCAAATCACCCGGTCGGTTTGACTTCGTCCATTGACTGACCGCCTTGGGTCTGATCCAACTATTGTGCGTAGGTGGATTCGTTGAGCGATGCACCGTGACATATTTGAACCATAGCTTGTGTATCGAGAACACTCAGTCCGAAAATAGGGGTCAATGTCAATTACCTCCACACAAGCATTAGCATAATGGGAAATGAGGAGTCACACCTGTGTGATCGTCAAATAGATCCGATCTGTCAGTGGGGTGATAACCAGACGCCCGTTCAGTCCGAAATATTCGTTTCCGTAATTGAACTCTGCGGAACACTGTCGGATCACCAGGCTGTCCAATTTACGAACCCAGTAAAATCGAAGTTGTGATTCCCATCCGAATTCATCCGGAGCCATGATGCTTCATTGAGACATGTTTGCGTTTCCGTGATGGGTGCAAAAAAAAGCGAAATGGGTGTGCGTTTGAGTTCGCGTAAGTAAGTGAACAGTAGGAGATCAACTTTATATGATATGGGAGTCATTTATAGGAAACTGAAACAATTGGGTCCAGTGATGAACTTGAACGACCAATTCAGAAGACGAACACTGCGAGAGCAATTCTATTCCTAAGGCCCTGCATATGAACTTCACTCAACCCACAGTGGCTTTGACCAATCACACACAGTCACATATACACACCACTTTAGGTCCCACAAAACTGCTTTAATTCATCATCTCGTTTTATATGTTATTTAATCTTTTACTTGATAGAATACGTACGCGACCAATGGGAGTAAACGAAAGGAATTCCACCCGCAGCGCTTATCTTCTGAATCACGTTCATTTGTAGCCTGTTCTCATTGGTTATTCAAGTGGTTCTCGAGGTAACTGACCTACGAGCATTACCCCACATATGATTCGACATAGAATAGAATATGATTAAAAAAAACGCTCAGTTTTATTGTGTGAGCCGAATACTTGAACTTCTTAATAAGAAGACCATCGTTTATTCATCTCTGAATATGTCACAGTCATGTGGCATAGGCAAAATGCTAACTACTGGAGTTTGGTGTAAGATCCTAAATAGTTAAACCTCTAAGCTGGGCGGTTTACATTTATATATATATATATATATATATATATATATATATATATATATTCTGTTATAGATATTCTATACCCAGAGACATTTTAATGCCATCACAACAACAGGAAAATAAAGAAGGGTTGAAAAGCTACGTACATAACAATAAAGATTCCTAAGAAAATCACAATGGCATTTGTCGCTTTCTTTCATCACAAACGTTAAGGAACATCACAGTTTACCAAGCATGCTACGCAGCATTCGTGCCGCTGGTTCTAAATATGAGTCATTTTCCTTTATCTTTTTACCTAGCAACAACCTCCATCCACTGGACTCTATCCGAGAAGTTCACACACTGAAATTAGCGTTGATCCCCACCCCTGCATACTTCAGTGCGAAGTCATGTTCTTTCGGCTAGATTGCTTGTTCTAGCCATAATCAAAGTGTACCAATTGCACGCGATAAAGGTAGACAAATTTTTTGAGCCCTCGGAGGTGATGCAAAGTGGTTACCTTCTAAGAGTGTAACTATCAACACTCAACGCACGACGGCGAACTTAATCCCTGCCCACCAGGTGTTGTCACGCTAAATACGTAAGTTGTTTTGGGGACATCGGTTGCAAAACACCGAATACCACCAGGTGTCCTCAGTGCGGAGAAATCAGGTCTCGTATCTGTAGAGCAGTATGTTAGACATAGCGGCATTTTACACTCGTCCTTCGAGTAAACACGGTAAGCACATTGAGCGTTTGGCTATTTTCGAATTCGAGATACATTTTAATTCCTTTATTATCCATCCATCTTTGATTTTCTCCCATGGATTCGTACACTCTTCGCGTTTTGTGGGATGGAAACACTCAAAATAAACAAACACTCAGAGAAAGGATTGATCATTTGTTGTAAGTGACTGAAATCTTGAAATCCCATCAAAGTTTCTCATTGAAATCCGATGACAAACTAATTAGTGAAATAAGCACGGGCTTGAATCCCGAGGGTACTGAAGGACTTTTCACACATGAATCAATTCAGAAATGAAACACAATCAACCCTTGATCTGTGACAAAACTAAACAATGAACGACAAAAACAAATCATCAATGAGGATTTACCTGTCACGGATAAATTTCTCCACCATATCTTTCGAGTGGACATCCAAAATGAGTACAGTTTCTAACTTTTTCATATCGTTCCGTGTCAGATTGGTCCGGATGCGATAGACCATCTCGTTGAGTTGTTCTTCCAATTTTTTGTCATACTCCTTCATGGCACTTCGATTGCCGGTTTTAAAACTGCGAAACACATCTTCCACTTCCCAGGTAAACCAAATTTGAGAAGCAGCCAAGACGACCATACCCTAAACGAGAAAGAAGCACAGGGATTATGTCAGGTGAAGGGGACTAGAGCTTGGAAAATTGGCACATTTTGATCAATTCATACTGTAGCGGGAATGCTGGAGCAACAACGCGACGCGGATATCAAACCGATCGGGACAACCGACCGACAGCCATAGACAAAAGAACAGACAGCGAATATGTCGGGAGTATCTCGAAACAGACAAGAGGAGACATACGGACTAGCACAGGGAAAGCGACGGGATCTCGGGCAATCAGAAAGATAGCCCAGATGGGGGCTGCCGATCAAGTCGTCAACCGGGACAATCGGATCAGCCGAACAGAAATGATGCCAAAGAGAAGCAAGCTATCGGCCACAGGCAACTGGCCAGAACGCAGCCGAAACACTCAAGCAGCCGCAAGAGCAATGTTGGTGCCGCGCGGTCTGGAAAAGGGGCTATATAGACGATTGTGTGCTTTTCATGGACTTAACTTGTTTGGCCGTCGAAATACAAGTGTCCTAACCCGTCTTTTCGTTTTCGTTACAATACATCAATTCGGAACGCACACTTAACAAAAATGATTCACAATTTTCTCGGTGAAAATGTGCATCTTTTGGATTAAGTCTCAAACTGTGTCATCCTAAATCTACCTGACATGAATACATAACAGTGGTGTTCGAGTGGTATGACAACTAAATCTGAGGTCATAGATTTTGATAACAACACCATTTATCTTTGAGTGCCATCTGGCTATAACAGTATTGTTTGTTGGAAGCCATCGACGATTGAAGTGGTCAGTCCAACACCTAGTCTTTCTGTCCTCAGATGAGACACTCAGCCGGATTGATAAATTATGCTATCTGCGTGACTGATTTTCGAACAAAGTGTCGTCGCGTACTTAGTCATCTGTGGTGCCGATGTGACATTCACTTGTTCATCAGCGAATGAGTTTGCGCTGTAGCCGTTGGGTCAGATCTGGTTCACGTCACAGGAACGATGAGGCAATTAGTGGTTCGTATATGGGCATAGGTAGCAAGTTCATAATATGAAACATATGAAAACCCTAATCCCAGCAAGTGAACATGGCCATAGGCCTCCTGGGTGGAGTCCAAGAAGTACAACCATGCAGTGACTAAATACCATAAACGATTTGACTAGGCTCCGCGATCAATGGCGCTCTTGTATTCAAATACTTTCTTCAACTACTGAATCCTGATTTTGTAGCTCTCTTCTTGTATTTTCTATGTCTTTGATTGTTTTACTTTTCGCCTGAGGTTCCCTCAAAGATATAACAGCCAGAAGTGCCGCATTCAGTGCATGACTATTGATTGTTCGAAGTGAACTGAACTGAGTTGGTCCAACAACACGGTTCCACATTTAGTGCTTCTAATGGTACTTCTCAAAACATGAACGCATCTTACAAATGTACGAATTAATTGACCGTTCGAATAAAAATGATAATGGGTGTTTGGTCCAACTGGAACAGCTGTTCAGTTTTCACACAAAAATATTGGGAGTTCAGAGTTTTAAATGCTTTGATAAAAACGTTTGACGTAAAGCCACACGAAGCCATGGATCTTGCCTCACGTGCGTGGTTCAGAACTTAACAGAAGTATTGTTGGGCGTAGAACGCAAGAATCGATGATATTACTTTTTTTTTAATGCATGCTTGTCTATGAGTGCAGTGGAAGGCATGTACCCCATAGACTCAAAGAGCACTGTCGTCGATGACCAGCAACCTGACTCTAGGACTTGGAGTGGAGAACCACCTAAGGTCCCAGTGGTTGTTCAAAATGAAAAGAAATGAACTGAAGTTCGTAAAATATTTCTCTGGCGGTGATTAACTGATGTAGGATGTCCGACGCAACCCTCGAAGATGTCTTTCAGGATCTTCAGTCGATTTCTAGTTCATTCACTCTGTCCGTCGCGACGACACCGGTGAACCTCTGCGGCTATCTGCTTTCAGTCTATGAAATCGAGCGAATCACATGAGTTGATAATTTAGATGCTCAGTTAGGCCGGCAAGGAAGTGATCAACTTGAATGCTTTCGTGAATGCTTGTGGAGATCTCTCTTCGAATTGTAATCCCTGTGTTGTTTAGTCACAGAACAGACTTTCCATACCGTGCTGGTGTGATCTGGTTTTTTACTAGAGGTTTATTACAATAAGAGCTTCAAAGCGTAGGTCATGTGCAAAGCCTGTCTGTGCGAAACACCAAACTAAGTTCGGAGAGTTACGACATACCCGTGGTTAGTATACTGTCCTGAAGGAAGCGTGCAGTTGTGAAGTTCTGATTTAAATCAACACTTAAATCACACTGTGGTTCATTGTGTGCCCAAGCTCTGTGTCGAAGCCGCAGTAGAGAACGTTGAGTCAGCAGATGACGTGTTGTTTTGCTTAGACTGTTGCGAATTGTGCGGGTACATGCGTGAGAAAACATGGAATTCAAATATTGTGTGTGTGTGTGTCCGCGGTAAAAATGTTGCAGACAGACAAAAAGAAATGGTTGTGTACGGTATTATCAGATCGATGGACAGTCTGAGACAATATACTGATGCGAGTATGCTCGTATCAAGCGAAATTTGCGTACGGAAAGAACGAGTTGGCTAAATGTTGAAAACTGAGATAGTTCCGACTCTCACGAAAAGCAACACCAATACCACGTGCCATCTAGAATACACGAAAAGTTCTTTTCTGTTTCTTGAAACCGGTTCCCTGCAGGGTCGTTATCAAAAAACGATGATCCAACACATGGATCATGATGGTTAGTCAAACTCTCAAAAATTGCATCGGTCTTAATTACCTGAAAATCAAACATCCAATCCACACGCGACTTTTGATAACGGTAATAGAATACTGCCTGTTTGGTGATCAAGTGATTGGTTCGCTGCATCTCTGCTTCCATCGCGGTTAGCCATTCTTCAACTTTGCCGAAAACAACAACCGGCTGCATGAAGAAGGCAAGTGATGGATTAAAATCTGATCTGAATAAAATTTAGAATCATAAAAGGTTTTCCTTGCACTAATGTACACAAGCGGTCCTCATCGGGGTCATTTTTCTGATCGGAATATAAACACTTAATACCGACAAATTTTTCCCAGATCCATCAGAATTTGCTCAGTATTGTCTCCCAAGAAAAGAGGTTAAAAAACCAGAAGAAATCAGAAGGAGATCAGATTATGTAAAAAAAATGACGACTTTCATCAATTATCAAAATTCACATAAACCCTTAATTCACAATTTAAATGCTGCCTAAATTGATTATTACGGGCGTAAACTGTACATGTCGAATGCTGAATTGAACGTTCCGTTGTGAGAGTTTCTCACTTTTATCGCCCAGGATGAAATCGATCAAAGAGAACGGCGTTGAAACTTGACATCGATTCTCTATCAGACGTGGGTTTGTCGGTCTTGATTTGTCTATGCAACAGGAAAAAAGTGAAGCAGCAAATTCGAATTTTCCTTTAAGGATTCACAACACTGCGGTATCAGAACTTTACTCACCATTGAAAATCCAATCGTCTCCAACTGTCTCACATTTGAAGACATCCAACTTCACTGTGTGGATGATTTATTGGGAAAAATGACTAGGTTCCTCAAGAATGAACTGCCGGTCATGAAGAAAATGTAGTTTTATTGTAAAATCAGCTAATTACCGATAATTTTGTCGTCCTTTTTTAATTGCATTTTTTCCCGTCATGGACATTCATGAAGTATGCGATTATTACGGTTTATTGATCCGATTCGTTGGTGTTTCCTAATTTCAAAACATTTAATGAGTTTATCTTTAATTTATTGGTGACTCGAGGAACCTGAGGGATACGGGGAACGGAATATCCACTAATGAAAAATGCAAGTGAATTTCGATATCGCATGCATCGTTCCGGCTCCTCCTGTCATCAAAACATTCTACACATGCACTAAGATTTCCGTCGGCGTTTGTTTGGCAATGTGCTATTCGTTCCATCGGGAAGTCACGGACGAGACTAGTCCATTGATTAAAACCAGAACGGTTGCTGAGTATCACTGAAATAGGAACTTTGCGCGCATTGATTATTCACCTGAGTTGTTCACGTCTTGAAAAAGGTTAGCAATGGTGACCGAAATGTCGAAAACTTACCAATGATTTCGACTACGTTGTGTTATTAAACAACGAAATTTTATTATAAAATTTCATACGGCGCATCGATTTTTCGATGCATTCCGAACTGATCTCGGTTCTGCTACATTATTTCTAAAGGTTCGTTGTATACTGACCGTTGATGATCCCTAACAGAGATGAGACATATTTGATATGCCTCCACAGAAAACTGTGGAGTGTTCCTAGTTTTAAAAAAATATAAAAAGTCTTACTATAGGTAGCACGATTTGCTGAAACTTTCACGTAGTTGTCGTTGCTCTCGGTTGATCCTGTTAGGATTTTAGTGAGAATTTCCCTTGTGAAGAATGAACTAGAGATGGTAATGAATACCAAAACTCTCAGAGCTGAGATAATGACGAGATATTCGGTTGTCCAACAAGAGTCAAGTGCATGGCGGAACACTTAGGTCTGTCCTCGTGTACGGCTCGTAAATTTATTTTTATTTCCATTACATGCTTGCGCATGGGTGCAGTGGAAGGGGTATACACCCCATAGCCACGAAGGCCCACTGCACTATTGAGGATAACCGGTAACCGAACCCTGAGACTTGGATTGGCGAAGAACCACATAAGGTCCCAATAGGTCAGGTGTGGTAACGATCCGGATGACAGTGGATTACTGTCTACCACCTAAGTAACCGGTGATGGCGGGGATTCAAACCTCGGACCGCCGGGATGGTAAGCAAACGCTCTAAATCACTCGACCACCACCGACCACTGATAGACTAAGCACAAAGACTATGGGCTTTTGAGCAGAACTTTCCAAAAATCGTTGGAATACTGTGTAGCCAAAGCTGTCAATTGATATAGAGTGCTGGGAACCGGTCATTCATTAGAGCAATTGTTCAACGACACTGATAACGTTGATCGAGACACGTATCCTCTGTGTATACTATCTTCCAAGGCGCGTAACAATTGAAGCTGGGGTTCAATGACAACGCAAAGATATGGAAACCTTAGCCAGTGAGCTTCGTCAAGCTGTATGGTGTGACATAGTAATATGCCGAAGGATTTGCTGGACAACGGAATAAATGAATCGTCAAAATTGCTGTAGAGAATTGTTCTACTCAATTCGATCATATCAGACTTATATCGTGATAACAAAACTACTCGATGACATTATCGTGTGCGAGATTATCAATGCTCAAGAAGAACGTAACGAATTCGTTTAAGTTACTACGGTATCCGTATTTCTAATGGGTACAATCCATTCAGTCTCCTGAAGAATCACATTAGTATTATTTCGAAGCTGCGTAATTGCCATTACAATTCAGTTACTGGTGTGGTGGAGTATGCATACTGCTAACTGAATAAGTAAGTAATTAATTACTTAAAAACCAATTGTGGACAAACATGGAGTGATAATGGACTTGATTACGTCACACGGACTGAATATAATAAAATGAGTGAAGGCATACGAACCACGTGATGGCATCCCCGATCGGATTACGACCGCCTTCTTATGGACTGGACACCGGAGACGCAAAGGAGGAGTTCTGCTTTGCGTGGTTGATTTTGTTAATCTCTTAATTTGTAGTCTCCAATACAAAACGTACTTACCGGGCACGCCTTCTGGACTATAACCTAGCAATGGATGAAACTTTGTTCATCATTTCCGTAGTGTATGAGTCACATGACTTCTTTCAAATTTTATGAGACGTTCGGTCTAACCCGAACATCACCCTTCAATTGAATGGATACTCAATGGGAATAGTCTGTCATCAGACCTAGCTAGGTAGATGTGATGCGCAATAAATCTTGGGAAGATCTGAAGCATCAAATGAACCCACCTTCTTAAATTCCATTATTTCACCCTCGAAAGAAATCAGCGCAGTGACCGACACATCGGATGAATGCGTAGCATAGGAGAAGCGCAATTTTCCAATATTGTCAAACATCTGAGTTGGGGTGTGCAAGAAGAGAAAAACTGTGATTTTCACATTAGTGACGTGATAAAACGAATGACTGACTTCAAAATAACCAGCAAAAGTAGACAGATAAATTCCACACGTGAATGAATTCACGCACGAGCTTTTAATTACAACTGGAGTAAACAAAGTAGACGTCGGAGTGACCGAATTTATTCAACGAGGTGTAAACCAACTTCCGCGTAGGTTCCTGTACATTTCCAACGTTTCCCATGATTTTCGACGCTCCTTAGTGCAGTGCACTTCTCTGTCGTACCGACGTTTTAATATATACAATCAATACATCCGTTTTCGACCGCACACACACACACACACACACACACACACACACACACACACACACACACACACACACACACACACAAAATACCGTGTAACCCGAAATCTCTCAACAAATCATTCGTCCTGACGCCACCTCGCTTTTTGATTTGGAGTGTCCTGGAATAAATTTAACCAGTGTTCCAACCGTAACCGATAAACATTTAAGAAGCTATCATGGTGACGTTTCGGAATTCGTCCCTGCACTCCCCCAATCAATTCACCAATCTGCCATCAAGTCCTGGTAGCTGAACTGAGTGCACTGAAAACGTTGGTCAACGTTGGACGTTCAGGAATCCAGAGGCCTACATAAAAAACATGGGAGTAGGTGGTTTGGGAACGTAATTACAGTAGTTGACCCATTTATTGTTGTACCTCATTTCTCCTTTTTTGTTGTTGTTCTGTGGTAGGCTAGGAGAATTCTGTCTAACAGACCGATCGTACGTAATGAAATAACTCGCATCCAGACTACGCGCACTCGGAACTGACAAGACCAAACAAGAACACCAGGAATTTATTCTGTTGGATTTGATTAACTTAGACTCATTTACACATCAAAGGATTATGCAACTGTTGGCAGATAACGTGCTGACCCATCACAAAGCTATTCCACTGTATTTGCACAATCTGATTGTCAAGGTCCGACTTCATCTGATTAGTTGGATGCTGGAAACGAAGCTATAGCGCAATGGACCGCGTGCGAAGGCATTCGAATCACTACACAAGCCCAAACATGATTAGCTGTCTGGACGCGTCCAGTGTATCATAGGGATATCTGGCTCAGATTTTCTGATCATCTACGACAGCACAAACGATGCATTAAGAGGACCATAGCTGCTGATATAGTTCATTTATTGGCGAGTCCGTTAGTTTTGTCATAGTGATAGGTGAAAAATTGGTAGACGATGTCTTGATGAATGGTAACTCGAACTTATTGTGGTAGATGATATTGTTTCCATGTTCCGAAAACACCTGAACTTTAGCAGTTCGATCATTCTTATCTACAGGCAGGTAGCACGCCTCACGATTGTTCAGAAAACCACAATAACCGACTGCTGATCTACAAATTCATGGCTTTCGAAAAGCTCAACTAAAATTCTCGGATACTTTTGCCGCCTAGGTTCAAACTCAACCTCAATAGAAGAATGCTGACCATCTTCGGGAGTGCTAAAGTAACGAATCTGCACCCTTGCAAAATGCTTGTTGAAGGAAGAGCTCGGTTTCAGTTTCAGTTTCAGTTTCAGTTTATTCAACCGTTAACCTAGCGCTTCTGTGCTCTGCTTCCGGTTGCTACCTTCCAGAATAGTCCAGTAGAAGGCGAAAATAATAGAAGCAAAGTGGTAAACATCAAAAAAGTCAAAGTATCAAGGAGAAATCAAGAGGACAACGAAAGATTCCGAATGTAACTATGCCACTGACCGCGACGCCTAGCCATATCACTTATTGTCTCCATCCATTTGGTAGCCGGATCATATGGACCCCAACCTGGAAGTCTAACACTTCCTACTCGGCCAAGTCCACTGGTCAGGGTTTTCATGCCTTTTTGCCATGTCATAGGCTGACGACCTCGACCTACCTTGCAATCACCACTTGCCTCAGAGAACAGCATTCGCTGAGAAAGTCTATCGGTGGGCACGCGTAACACATGTCCCAACCACCTTTACCTGGTTAGATTTAGTACTTGATACAGAGACTGACCTCTGGTTCCCAACACCTTACGCCTAACCTCAGCATTGCTGATACGGTGCTCCCACCATACTCGGGCAATGTTACGGAGACATCGGTGCTCGAACACTGACGGTCTTCGCCTATCTTCTACTCTCAACGGCCATGTTTCCTAACCGTATAAAAGAACGGACCTAACCGCCGTAGTGTACACTCTACCCTTAACAGACAGTCGGATGTCATGCTGACGCCACAGATGACCGAGGTTGGTGAGAGCCAAACGCGCCCTCTGTATACGTGATGACACTTCATCTGATATCTGTCCACCTGGTGAAAAGTAACTGTCCAGACAACAAAATGTATCCACTTCAGCTAGAGTTTCCCTTGCCAAGACAGATTTGTTGTAGCACCAACCCAGTCCTGCAGCAGTATTTTGCACTTTTAAGGTGCAAAACGCATCCCAAACACTCCTACAGTGTTGTTAAGGTTATCTAAAGGAGCTTGCAACTTACCTGGATCTTCTTTCAGAAAAACAATATTGTCCGCATATTCGAAATCAGACAGTTTACTGCCTGAGCAAAGATCGACGCTGCTATTCTCACACGAGGATAGGGCTATCTCAAAAATCAATTCGACTACAAAATTGAAGAGGAAGGGTGAAATAGGGCAACCTTGAAGAACACCACTTCTCGTAGTGAACTCGGGTGAAAGGTCGCAGTAAGCACGAACTCGGTTTCGGCTGTTCTCATACAAGGATTGGAAAAGAGAAATAAATTTCTCTGGTACACCCTTCAATGAGAGGCAGTACCGGAAAACTGTGCGATCGACTGAATCGAACGCTGCTCTGAGATCAAGACAGATGGTGGGCCTACGGAAGATGTGTCTGTGCTCTAAGATTTGTCGAAGAGTGAAGATGTGGTCGATACAACCCCGACCGAGTCTAAAATGGGCTTGGTTCTCACGTGTACACATTTCGCGGGCACTGGATAATCGGTGGAGAATAAGGCCGGTGAGCAGTTTAGACGCGATACTTGCCAAGCCAATTCCTCTATGGCTTTCACAAGAGGACCTGTCACCTTTCTTGTAAATCGGCACAATCACGGAGGACGGAGGCGAAGCTTTGGTTTCGGAGTTAACAAAACTCCTCTATATTATTTGGGATAGCGAGCAGATTCCCAGGGAATGGTGTGAAGGAAAAGTTATTCCTGTTGAATGACTTGCATTAATTAGATACGCCCCTATCTCAGATCAGCGTGTCTAGTTTAATATAGACAGTGCCGTGCTTTTGCGCGCAAATGGAGTTATTCGAAACGTGCACGCGTCTTTATTCGGGGTGGCACAAAATCTGATTGATTTTTAGACCGCTAGCCCTATTGATTAAACGGACCCTGTCCAAATCTCGTGACTTACCCAGGCATTACCCGCTGTGATGTGCCGCAGTAAATGTGCTGTGCAAAAACGGATCACTGGTGTAGGTCGTCCGCACAGAAAGTAGCGCCTACTTATCAGCAGCGGTAGTTAAGTGGAATTATCAGTGGTTGCGACAGTAAAAGTGCTGTATCGCGTAATCGGTAGGCGCAACATAAGCATGACTATACGGACGAACGCGTACTCAGCAAGTGTACGGCAAACGCGAACACAAGCATGACAATGGAGAACCAAGCGGGTAAGTGAGTAAGTACGTGAGCCAGTCGCATTCAAGTGAAGACGCAAGCCAGACGTACAGCCGTATCAGACCATGCAAGGTCGTAAGACAAGTGAAAACGATTGGTCAGTGCAGTCCGGGATGGAGCATGACTAGCGTCAACCCTATATGCGTGTGCACGTGCATCTGTCCATGTATGTGGGATATGGATCAATGGCCCACAGTGCATGTGTGCATGGGAGACTGTCTGACTGCGCACGTCGCTGCTTGAATGGAACATAAAGCGAAAGAAAAAACCACGGATTTCAGTGCGCAAACCGGCGAGGAGACAAAATCAATGGCACAGAGAGAGGGAGCGAGATGTGACCGTTTTCAACGTAGCTGGTGATACACATGAAATTAACACCATGGGAGAACAAACGAAAAACAATGGACTCCCCGGTGAGGAGAAAAATAAACTGGAAAAACGGCTCCATACCAATTGGATTAAGCAGAAGGAAAAATGTGCAAAAGAGAAAAATGTAGGTGGTAATCTACAGAGAAGCAAAATTTTCAAATATACGGACCGAGTATGTCATGTTGAATGAATTGTCTCATCTGACCAGTAAAATTGTCACTTTCAAATTTCTTCTCGCTAAATGGGTGCCGTTACCACACACTAGCGATGAAGCTGCTCTGTCAAACCATACTCGCCCCTCTGCAATGTCTTTGAACACTGGTGAAGTTCATAGCTCAGGTAAAGGCCTTCATTTGTTGTGCTGGGCAAAATTTGCACCATCATCGTGCATAAAAGCGTTCAATCCTGACTGAAATCAACGGTACAGCGCTTCGGCTCAACTTCGGGTGGTAATCCACCGGGTTGAGTTTGGCTTCGAATCGTGGCTGACGCACGCATTAACTGCATCACGTGAGCTATCATCCACACGGCTGTAGTTTGGGCGTAAACCAAGTTTGATCATTTAATCCACGATGTTCAAGTTTTAGGTCCGTAGTCTTCAGTGACTTGAGTCAGTCTACCGTGATTATATGCAATCGGTGACCGGTAACAATTCAGTGTTCCAAAGCGTCTAACTCATCGGGGGTCAGAGGTTTGAATCCAACCACCACCGGTCATTCTGGTGGTAGACACTAACCCGCTGTCGTCCGGTGTATTTGCACGACTGACCTATTGGAATCTCGTGATTCTCCATTCCAGGTATCGGGGTCAGGGTGGCGGGTATCCCTAATAGTGCAGTGCAGTGCAAAGATGCAATTAGGAAATATCTACCTACTATGTCCGAAACTGAAGGTTTCATTCGCAAGTGCAGTTTAGACGTGTCAGGGTTAAGAGAGGTTAATCGCAGAATGTCTCACCTCCATTGGTTTACGCCATCGAAAAGGTTACACGAGCTTTGTCAGAGATAAAGATACCGGTGTATATGATCACAATTACTTGCCTTTACTATATGCTCTTGTATCACCTGAGCTTCTTTGCCACCCAAAATATTCAGTACTTCATCATCTGATATGAAGTAGAAACGCGGAAATGCATTCCGTTTGCCATCCAAATAGTCGTTTAGGGCTTTCTGACACAATTCCAATTCTTGCTCCAGCATACGCAGTGTTTCTAGACGATGATCGGCTAGACAAGATTTCATCACAAACTGCGTTTCTTGTGTTTGTTTCATAATCTAAATTGATGAACGGGAAGGAAAAGCAAAACATTGTGTGTCAGAGAAAAATTGAAAACCTAACAGCTTGTACATTATCAAATATATGAGTCAAGATTATTATGCCTGTCAAACCTATTAAGAAATGAGCATGCTTACTCTTTTTAGAACCCTCTTCAGCCTCGGAATACAACAAGCCTGTCCGGAAAGTGAGTGGGGTGTTTGATGATTCTTCGTTGACTTGTGCCTTTCGCCCAACCGGTAATCTCACCACATTTGAGCAACCCTTCGAAGGAATCCGTTTAGAAATACTGGTAGTCATCGTGTTTCCCACCGGCGGTGGCCAAGTTCTGAGCAGTCCATAAAAACTGGCCTAGCTCGTGAAGCATACACTAGACCATTAATGAACTTCAGTGAAGGACCACAAAGAACACTTGTTGGATGCTGCATCTGAATTTCCATTGACACGCTACTCGCTATCTCTAAGTTAGACCATCGCTCACCTAAAAAGTGCCTGTACACACCTTGATGCACATTGGTTGTTGTCTGCTTTTATTCAGTGACTTCTGATCACTGAGCTTGGCGTTTGGGTGGCAAACGTTTCATCACCAGTCGAGGTGACATCAGCAGTGCGTAAGTGGCGATCCGCGTGATCATCTGTTTATGTAGGTGTGTCAACCATTGGTGCGACCTTGACCCCTGAAATGACCTTGACCTTGGCAGGTTACTGATTATCGAAAGCTGACTTTTTGGGCTTTCAGGGCGAACTTCCAAATTCAGTAACTTGACCTTCTGCAGTGCCCTCCGATTTGGCCAATTTGACCTCTTGCAATCTGTCCTGATATATACATATATTTATATAAATATATATTTATATAAAAATATATGTACATATATGTATTTGGGGGGTTGCACATTTTCGTGCTTTTTGTGTTGTTTTGTTTTTATTTTCACTTCTATTTCTCGTTTATATTTTTGGTTCATTGAGTCTTCTTGGGTTGACGTGTTCCCGCGAAGAGTTGGGTTCCGCGGCTATGGGTCGGTAGGATTGGGATTCCATTTATTCGTTTTTCATTTATTGAGTTAGTTGAGCCTTTCGCGTATCCAGATATTGCAAAAGCGATCCAATTCTGTTTTTCTATTGACCCAGCTTCTTATCGATTATAATGTATCTGTACTCATTGCATTCAGTCACTGTTAGATGTTTTGCATTTACAGTAAAATCAGTCATGTTGCTGTTCTAGTGTACAATCGTTTGAGGATAAATCAACAAAAAATATGTGAGCCTTATAATCTTGCGTTCCGGGTTCAATCGGCCCAGAGACATATCCAGTGGTAAATTTGTTTACTTCATATATCAACTATCGGTCGTTAAATGGGCAGAATAATAATGTCATCAAAATGTGCGAAAAAGTCTCCATACTTTGCGGAACATTTTATCGATCGATTCAAAGCGTTTTGCCTCTTGCGGCAATTGTTTGGCCACATCGCCACCCATGAAAATTGCTTCAAGATACATCCATCGTTGTTGCACAGTGATCCATAACTAAAGCGAATAATGGAATCCGGGTGTGGGAGAAACAAATAAGACCTTTATATTATAGCTCGTGATAGTAAGTAGAGATGCAATGCGATTATTTGGTGTTATATTCTTATATATATATATATATATATATATATATATATATATATATATATATATATATATATTATTGTGAGGATCGATTTGGTACAAATAATAGGTTTCCAGACATCAGACATCAACGTCGTTGATCAGACTACACTTTCAGCCTTAACGTGTCTGTCGATTCAAATCTCTTATGCAAGTCAGTCGTACAAGGTAGACTGGCTTGTGCTTCAACTAAGTGACTGATCTTTTGGCGAATTCCTTCATGAAACGTTTGTTTAGAGTTGTTATATTTGTCAGGTATACCGGAGTGGGAAGAAGCTTTGAGTTGTTTAATCACATATTTTGGGGACATATTCTATAAATTGACCGCTCCCCGGTTCCTGCGGCGCACTTGCGAAAGCAGAAAATCCGACTTTTGAGTTGGATCCATTCACGAATCTTTTGTGCCAATTTTAGGTCAAGTTGCTGACACACCTTTTATCCTGACATAAGTATTGTTTTTAATGGTTCAACCAAATTAACTGGAGTTCCCGACCCTATTTCCAATGGAAGGCCTTGCAGTAACTCCTGGTGGGTTAGAACGATGGCCTCGTTTTTCTACTGGGGAATGAAAATAAAATCCTTACAATGCTCATGGAATGTCCAAAACAATTTTTATGCCCTCGACACTGGAGTAAAATAATGTAATTTTGTGTCCGCCGATCTAGCTATTAATTGTAACGCATATACCGCACTTATCAGGTAGAAGATCTCGATTGAGCCCTAGATACGAGAAAACCAAATGAAGACAAAATTTACGAGAACCAATTACATTCCAACTGAGAGCTCTAGAGGCCTACTCCAAACTCATGCATAAGGGCACCTCCATGCACTTTTTGTTCTCGTACATGACAGCATAAAGGCAGAACTGTGTAGTCTTATATCTATAATAATTAGCAAGCAATGGCGAGACTCTAGGACAACAACCCTTGTAGCCTGCTTTAATGCGGCTCTTAATTCAGACGAAACCATATATTTGCTACCACCAGTCGGTCACGGTCATGACGGAACAAGTCTCTGGGCGAAAGCGAAACCAGATTTGATTGCTTTGAAACAACCCACATGTTAATAGGAACAATGCATATGCGCATTATTAGTCATTGGGTCGGCCTTCATTCTTTAGGGTTTTTCACAATATCTTCAGCATAAAATCCATGCTTGTTCTCAAGACGATGTAATATATATATATATATATATATATATATATATATATATATATATATATATATATATATATATATATATATATATAAAGACTGGTTCCTTAGTCATTTAGATAAGTGAACCAGTCTTTTATATATATATATATATATATATATATATATATATATCATCCATAATATAACCTTTTGCAATTCTACTTTGATCCCCTTTACGAAGGTGCTGAGGACATACAGTTTTAGTGGATCTTTTTATCACTATCGCGACAATAATATAAGCAATTAACGGGGCGCAATAAAATGACCCTGACTCCAACGTTCACGCTGATACGAATTTGGATTTCCTTTATTCAGTAAGTTTATCGATAAGACGCATTTTTTAACCACATATAACGCGAAATCTCCGAATTATGAGAGAATTTTTCTTGTTATTCTTCTATAGATACAATTAGAAAAAACATAGTGGCTCAACAAGCTACTTCTATTGAACTACTTAAACAGGAAACCTCTCAAAATACACCTCAGGTTAATAACTTTAATCCTAATCACCAATTTATTCATGTCCTATGCCTTGGTAATTATTAGCTTACATTGCACAAAACATTTTATCCTGACAGCCAAGGTCACATACACTGAACTATCTATAGCGCCGTACATCATCAACTCAAATGAGAGAAGACATAAATTATAGATAGTGAAGAGAATTTTCAATGTATCACAATCCAATATACTTGTATCCTGCACAAAAAGCTTAAATAAGTCACTAACTGGATTGTATACAAAACAACCCAATGAACCGGGTTACTTATTTGATTTAAGTAGTGGATTTATTTTCCATGCACCGAAATTCTGATATTGACATAGAATTATGTCACCCGCGCTAAAAAAATTCTATAAAAACCAAATGAAAAACGAAGCGAACATTGTTTTATGAACCTAACTGTTCTGTCTACGTTCTGACTGTACACACTTACATCCAGTGTATCGCTCACAATGGTCAAATCCTTTTCCCACTGACGCACAATCGTCACAAATGGAGTCGCAAATCGACTAGCCCCAATCGACTGAAGACTCATCATGTGATCTTCCATGCACTGAATTGGTTCATCCACCGCTCCGAGTACATAACACGGTTCTCGATTGCATTTCGTGTAAGCGGTGAGGACAAATTTCATTTCCAGCCAAGTATTCTTGATATCTTCCAGTTGCTGTAGGGTGTATAGATACAAAAGTTGCAAGATCATTACAATAACTGAGTTCATGCGGGACACTTTCAACATGGCATGTTGAATAACACAACGCTTTGCCATTATTGAAGTTAGTATTTACAATATGGACCAAAGTGACCGTTGGTGAACTGTTAGAGCACCTGTTTCAAAGAAAAATGATTTCATAAATATCGTTACACCTATAGCTCACAGTGAAAAACAACGGTCATATCAAGGAATCACGATAATAATCATTCAACAGCTCATATCATGGCGTAGTGCAGTGTTGTCACCAGGTCCGCTCTCTCGGGTTCGCGTCTTAGCCGCACAAGATCACCTCCGATTGGCCAAAATCTGATCCTGATAAAAATTTCGGCGTTTTTGATCATTTGGCGTGACTGGATTAGACGGGTCCTATCTGCACGACTTATGTTTTTCACATCCCAAGCTGCACAACTAACCGCTTACGGAGTGAAATGAAGATGAATTCGGGCAGTTTTAGGTCACTTGACGCGGATTGGGCAGGCCCCTTTGACACGCCTTATAGTTGTCACAAATCAACCGGCTAACCGCGCGCCAAATGGTTTAACCAACTGACCACAATAGATGGGCGCATTTTGGTTGGTCAACGGAATGGTGTGCTGCTTACAGAGGCATGTCCACCATCGGTTAGGATCACTGTAGTCGAATACAATAATGTCTCGAACATTCGCGAGGTTAGATTCCAGAACCCATTGCGTATCAAGAGGAATGGGAAATCTTTGGTACGAATCACAGAAACTAAACACACTTCTGCGAATCCCAAAACGCGACTGCACGAGGTATTATTGCATTTTGCGTAGCTTATATTATATTTAGCTATCCAAAGTAAGGTCTCCAGGATATCGTTTAGATATCGTATCTGCTGCTGGGTACACCGCAAATGAAACAGATTTTGTCGGACTTAGATTTTCTCTGATCTCTAATCCAATGTGATACACGAATGAAAAATGTCAAGTTTTGATGGAATGCTTGAAAAAGGTAGATTATAAGAATTCATGCCATCAGTAGTGGGAATAGAAGGCAATGCGTAGTCTCCTCGTATGCATAAAGAATCTTCACACTTGTCTGGCTCCATTTCGTGTACAGATTTTCTTACGACATTTTTCGTCGTATGTTTAGCGATATCATCCACTACCTAGTTGAGGTACTTTCATCGATCCGTCTCCGGCGCATCGAACATGCTCTGTTCTGCTTGCCTATCTGTACTGCTTGCAATACTAAAGAGAACGTATTGAAATATCTCCTACCCAGAAATATCCAAACCGAAGCAGGGAGAAGGCACGCTAATTTTACCTCATAACTGATTTGTATAGATTTTACATCAAAGGGAATAACTGGCAGATCATACATTAACCAACCCCAACCAGCTTTTGTTCTACCTGTTCACGATGATTCTGACTGGGTGGCTCTCTTCAGCTGTACCGGGCCATACCCCGTGTAACACCTGCTGAATAACTACACCATCGCACACATTGACTGGCGATGAGCTGTGTGCGACAGAACTGCCGAGCTCACTGATCAACAGCTTATGACTTACTACAAGTTTTTCCTGTGTGAGAAACAGAGGAAATTGCAAAAGTTTTGTTCTTTTATCAAGAAACGATGCTGGTTGGAATCCAGCATTTTTCATGACGAAAAAAACAGATGCTTCAACATGAGGCATCTGTGTTCAGCTTACCGTCTCAATGAGCACCTCACGTTGGGCATTGTTCACTACGGTTGAAATGACATCGGAAAACTCGTGCAGCTGCATCGCAAACACACCTTCCAGTGTGAATGTTTGTGGATCCATATCGAAACTGATACCCGTCTTTTCCATTAATTGCTTCCAATGTCTGCAAAAAGGAATGAGACTTGAAGCTGAAAATACGGAGGCAAATATATTGTTTTTCACTTCCTTTTTAGGTGAACTCCTAAACCTCAAAGTTATTGTATCATGTATACGTAACTATTAATAATTATCGATGTTTGGGAATTAAGTTGTTTATGTTCAATGATTCACCTTCTGTGCTTGAGTCTGCAGCTGTATTGATTGAAATTAACAAGACTTTGATGGGACCAGAAGAAAGTGACACATGAAATCCACTAAGCCTGGTCGCACTGGACACGTGTTAGGGTCCGTAGATGAAATCCATGGTTCCAGTCTGATTGACAGTTTCGATCGTGTTGGTATTATGTTTTAAATCCAACCTTCACGAAACCGCTACCTCATTTTTGTTCTGTTTCAACGAAATATATGTCACTTGGAAGGATGGCAAACAACAAGTGTAAGTAAATCGTGTAATGTTCCTCGTCCAATCTCCAGTCTTCAAGTTAGTGAAAGAGGAAGGATTCCCGTATGTGTCTTAGTACCACAACTCATTGAGTACGGAATCAGGCAAGAAACTTTTCCCGTTACTTCCTCAGAAGGACATCCGACCGTCCAATGAATATGCGGTCAGGCATATCTTCCATAAGCATACGATCTCTGCCTTCCTTGATCTGAAAGCGATACTTCGTTCGGTCGACCGCAGTTCTCTGGCGCCGCCTGTTGTTGAAGGATGTACCAGAGAAATTAACTTCTCCTTTCCAATCCTTGTATACAAACAGTCGAAGCCAAGTTCGTGCTTACGACAATCCTTCACTGGAGCTCTTCACGAGAAGTGATCTTTACCAGGGCTGTCATCTATTGTTCTTCAAATTCAATTGTATAATTGAAGTGGTTCTTGATGCAGTCCTATCCTCGTGTCAGAATAAAGTCATCGATCTATGCTCAGGCAGTAAATTGTCTGAATTAGACGATATTGTTCTACTGCGTGAGGACCTAGGTAAGTTGCAAGATCGCCTAAATAATAGTGTAGCAATGCTTGGGATGTGCATTGCACCTTCAAATTGTAAAATGCTGATGCAAGACTGGGTTGACACTATACCCAACCTTGTATTAGCAGAAGAAGCCCTGGTTGAATAAGATAGGTTTTTGTTACCTGGGCAGTCAAATCTCACCAGGTGGACAGATATCGGAGGCAGTGTTGTCGCGTATAGAGAAGGCACGCTTGGCTTTTGCCAATCTCTGTCATTTGTGGCGCCAGCGCGGCATCCAATTATTTGTCTAGAGTCAAGTGTACACTACGGTAGTTAGATCTGTTCTTCTGCACGCCTTAAAAACATGACCGTTGAAGGCGTAAAATAGACGAGGACTGTCGGTATTTACACATCAATATCTCCGCAGTACTGCTCAAATATGGTGGAAGCATCGTGTCAGCAACGCTGAGGTTCGGCGTAAGGTGTTGGAAACCAGAGGTCAGTCGCTGGAACAAGTACTGCTTCTTAATGGGTGAAGGTGCCCGAAACATGTGTAACGCATGTCCACCGATAGACTTCCTCGGCGTATGCTGTTCTCCGAGACAGGTAGTGGCTGGAAGGTAGGCCGAGTTGGTCATTCTATGACATGGAAAAATGCATGAAAACTCTGACCAGTGGACTTGGCCGAGTAGGACGTGTTAGACTTTCGGGTTGGGGTCCACGAGGCTCACCTGCCAGATGGTCGGAAAGATTAGGCGATGTCGCTAGGTGTCATGGTTAGTCGTGAATTTGAATTCGGTGTCTTTGTTCGTCTTTGGGATTACCAATCAGTATTTTGTTCTCGGCTCTTTTTTCGCTTTATACATCTATTTGTTTTGTGCTCACTAGATGATGCTGCCAGGTAGCAAGCAGAACCAGAGCACAGAAGTGCGAGGTCTATGGTTGAATGAACCGGGCTGAACTAAACTTTCTAATTGTGCCAGCCACAAACTAATCGCTCACTGCGATAGATGATAAACCAGACGTAATACACCCCAATTAAAACAACAATCTATGATAATCGACCTGATACTTACCGATCGCGCATTGCATCATCCTTCAAGTTTTGAATCAATAACAAAGATTCCTGGAAATTTTTCAACGTATTGCTCAACATTTTCGCCGCTGGTAGAGCTCTCATTTTACGCGGTCTCTGACGGAAGCGAGCAACAAAATCACGCATACTGGCAACCAAGTCTTGAATCTTTGCATCTCTCCACAAAATACAAGCCCAGTCTTGGCGTGCGCTCTGTAAAGTAAAGCGATAAGTTAATTTATGAAATAAGATGTGCTCAGACAAGCCAGTTCCACCGTGGAATAGTTTGAGGATTAATTTGTCCGTACTGAAATGGATCACAGTAACTAGAATATGTCCAGGGTTGCGGTAAGAATGTCAGGAAAACATTGATTTGTTTTTAGTCTTGTTTTTCTTAATCATTCTCATTAAGTATGCACCAGGAATTATTGAAGATTTCCAAAGCGGTCGAGGAAGTTCTGGAAATTCCCTTATAGTTTACCTGTTTTTTTCTCCTAAAAATCTATTATTTAAAAACAAAAGCAAATGGTTGTTTTGTTTTGCAAGTAAGGAGCTGAAAAGTTCCCAAACTGGCATAATAAGTACGACTATCGGGTCATCAAAGATATTAAAAGTGGGCAAATAGTATGAGGACAGCTTAGATATTCTGATGTGAATGAAGGGAACAGGGAACGAATCGCAACGTAGTGTTACGATGCCTACCGAAGACCAGAAATAATTAGGGGAACTGAAAGCTCTGTGCACCCTCGCTGTACAGTTTGTACTGGTTCACAGGAGATCGATTCTCACTTTTTGTTCAATGTACAATTCGTAGATTGGTTTAAGCTTCTGTAGTTCGGTCCGCATTTCTTTTAATTCCGGATAGGTAGAAATCGGTAAGTCCAGTAGACGTTCGCTGCTAAGCAAATCCACTCGACGCGCGTCCAGAATATCACATTCGGCCATAAACTGAGCCAAACTGACAACTCCTTTGTCCAAATCTTCGGATTCATTTCCTGGTCCGGATACTTTATAGCTGAACGCATACATGGAATGACACCGAAAAAGTGGATCATATTAGAAATGCGCAGTTGTTTTATGCTTCTCTTTTAAACACGTTATTATTATTATTATTATTATTATTATTATTATTATTGTTCCTACCGCTGCTGCGGCTACCGGTGGTAGTGGTAGTTTTCGTAGTGGTTGTTTCCGTATTTGCCACATCGTAAAATTCGGAGAGACGGGAAAACGAACCGATAACGAAGTAAGCCAATCAAAAACAGTATTCAGGTCGCAACCTCTGTCTGATTACTTGATATTTTTGTCAAGTTCTGGATGACGAATTTTGTTTTTATCCCATCCCGTGATCTGCTGGCATCAATGACAAGAAGGATTGATTGAAAGGAAATTGCACAGAAAGCCAACTGGGGTAGGACAATACATTGACTTCCACAGCACAGTTCTACTCAGTCTTAAAAGGAACTTAATAGGTTGTCTGGCGCAAGAAGCTAGAAGGATACGCTCAACAAGCCGAGCTAAAGATATTCTGCTCAGTCTGCCCGATCACCGTTCAAAGGCTCGTAGATCGACTACCACTGTGCACCACATCGATGTTCATCAATTAATCTGTTCTTGTGGAGCCCGCTATACACGTTCTACCCGTAGGCAGTTGATCAGGAGAATGCAAGAACATCACCCCGGTCTGGCCAAAAAAGGGGGGTGAAAAAGTCAAGGAAGCTTAGTAGCGTAACATCTGGTCACTATGGACCATTCGGTTGACGTTAAAAGTTCATTCACTGTTATCCACAAAACTCCAGCAAACCGATCTGCAGGGTGTGCCCAGATAAAGGAGCTGTGAAAAACGAAGATCTTAAATCTCTCACCCGCAACAGAAACACGAACAGACGCCGACTTTGTCTGCTTGATTGAAGGTTTTGTCGGGCCAGGTAAACGAGCTAGGCCGGTTTCATGAATGGAGTGGTCTCGGTACAAACGGAGTGCCTACAAATGACGTAAGATGGGTTAAGGGTTTCCGAAGTTCAGGTGATAGGGAAAACGCACAGGGAATGAGTGGAATCGATGTTCAGCTGCTCAATGCTTCATGCAGAACTCAGATCGGTCATTTCATTTTCAGGTAATCATCTTACATTGAATGGTAAAATACGTCTTGCAAAAAAAGTACTTATAAAAGTTGAGGCTCCACAGGTCTGTGGTTTGTTGAATGGCACCTACGATAAACGGAATCCGTTTCCATGAATTTGTATGCAAGCAAAAACGACTATTTCATAGTCTTCGGGTGCTTTGGCCAAAAAGTTTGGTGTAATCAGACAGAAATCGTAACACGAACATTATTTTTGATCGACTTGATTCGCTAGAAGAGAATCGTACCGTTTCTTCGATTTTTGCCACTTTGATCTTAATGTTGTGATTCATGCCCTAAATACTATTTTATAAGATTGAGGATGAATAATCGAGAGAAAAAAATTCTTCCTTCATCCGGCTTCTATGTGAACTAAAGGGATTTCCGACCAAAATACATAATGCACATAGACCGATGGGTGTGCGTTATTGTAGTATGATAACTCCCTTTCGGATTATATTCCGACAGTGCCCCTTCGATCGCACCTAATTGCGGGACCGGGTCTACGTGATTCACCTGCCCGTTGGTAATCTCGGTGGTTTTTCGAGCTGAAGTTTGGCCTAACATGAACTGAAAGTAGTTCATTGCAAATTGCGACGTCCCCAGAGGGTCTATGGTTTTATTGGACGTACTGTATAGAGTGGGTCAGAAGTAACCGAACGATCGTCGTTAGGCCTACCAGTGGTGAGAAAGAAAACCTGCCCCATGCGAAATTAAACGTCCTAACCCATGCAGATGCGCTCAACCGGTGAACGAGAGCACACTCGGGGCAGACACAAAGGATCACCTAATTACTGAAATGGACAGCAGAGCACTCCTTGGGCGTCTCACACGTATTGAAATTCGAGTGAGCACATAAGTGTGCATAATTCACCGGAGCTAGTTATCGATCGTCTTGGCTTCGTTGGTTATAGTCATGTCGGTCGGACGGAGAGAATCAGCTTGACGGACTGTCGACTGTTATTCCGTTCCTCAGTATTTTCCGCATCTTGAGAGTCAAACACCGTAGTGTAAAAATCCATCCATCATCATTGAGTGAATTGTACTTAAAAATAAATCATACCATTTATTTTGCCAAGAAAACATAACTACAGTCCTAAAAAGTATTTCAACGGTTTTATGAATGTGGAATTTCGCCTGCCGTAGGAAGCACAAGCAGTTATTGTGATATCGTGAGTGAATTTGTGGCAAAGTTATTGTAATCTAGGAAGCCTGTGTATCCTGGCAGACTGTTTTCTGGTACTCTCATAGATTTTCTATCTAACTAAGCGCAGTAAGGAGCACCACCCACCTTGATTTAAGCATGGAGGAAGACGGGCTGTATCAAGTTCTATCCTGGTCCATCTGTTAGATTCAGGTCACACGCTTGATCCGATACCCTCATTCAGCATCCTGTATGGGTTTCCATCGAAAGAGTCAAAATCAGCCTGATATAGATGTTTTGATCCGTCCCACCAGCTCTAATGATAAGACGTTCCTGCCCTCGAATCACGTCAGTTAATCAGCACAGAACACATTGCTTTTATGGGGAAAAATAGTCAATGTCATCAATCATTCCAACACAAACTAACTGGTTCATACTTGCATGAAGTACGCTGTCTTCTGGTTGGCGATTGATGATATGACCGGCTACCACTCGACGAGCATTCGTTCACTTCATATTGATCCTCTACCTTGTCGCTTGAGCATCCACAGACTCAAGCACTGACCTGGATTCTGGACATGTGCCCACATGCTGATTTCTGATGGGACTTGGCTGATTATCGATCATGAGTAAGCACATTACCTCACAATGTGCACTTATATTTTACTAATGAAGTTCATACGAATTCAAAAAAATGCTCGAATGCCCTCCTCTAAATGTCCAAGTAATTTTGAACCTCTTCGGATAACGTTTGCGTATGTAATCTCGATATCATGTGTTGGTACGAATCGCCACATACGCTCACAATAGGACATTAACAATGACCGAGGCAATCAGTATATGACTACTACAATCAAAGCAACGTTCAAAAAATTAGTTGGTCCAAGCACCTGTACTTCCGTGGCCTAAAAATGATGACATCGTCCCCGAGTTGATATCTATCCAAGCCTCTCATTATGAGACGCAATTTTACCCTCCCCAATTTATCGACCGATTGGTCGAGTAACCAATCGATTCACTGACTGACCGGTTGAAAATCTGAATACACGTATTCTTTCGATCCTTATTTGGTTGCATAGAAATGTGACTGTGATGTATTGAGAATGAAATTACCGAAACTACGTTAGATTACGCCTTGTTTTCTGATATTAATCAAGGGTTATATCCGTACAAAATGACAAACGTAACAAATTTACAAATTACGGGATAGAATTTTTACATTTTCTACTGCAGTGGTTCCTCATCCGTGAAACCAATATGACTCTGGATGACAGTCGTCCGTGTTTCGCACCTGACACAACGTTATATATATATATATATATATATATATATATATATATATATATATATATATATATATAGCAGGTTTCAGAACAAGCATGGTGTTAACGCAACAGCAACGGGATAAATTACAAAGTCGGAGGGCATTAAGATTCAACATGAAGATTCCAACAAATAAAAGCATCTTTATTTCCACGGTAAATGTCTGACAAATTTTCGCCTGTTTTTCAGTTGTTTATGGAAAGTAAGAAGTCAGCAGACAGGCCATACAGCATTCGCACCACTGAACTCGGTTCCGAGCCATTTCTCGCAGCATCTCCGACCCACGACAATCCTAATCTCCTAGGTCCCAAACAGGAAGGCAGCAAGCACCAACCGAAGCCAATGCTGAAGCTAACTTCTTCACGCCCCTAAGCCAAGTCATAGACTGAACGCCGCGTCGCTTCTTCCAAACTTGACCAGCACGTGCAAAAACAGCACGAAAGAGTAAACAATGGGCAGGCAAACACAAAACATGCCCCAGCCATCGGAGGCCGTATAGAGCGATTACCTTGGTCAGAGGGTGACTATCAGCACCAAACAAACGACGACGAACCTCGTCATTGCTCACCCGATGTTCCCATCAGACACGAACAAACCTTCGAAGACACCGGTGGTCGAACACAGAAAGTTGCTGAGCATCCTCAGCGCCGAGGGACCAGGTCTCACAACCGTAAAGAACAACTTTACGAACTGTGGCACTATACACTATTCTCTAGAGGGGAGGCCGAATTTTACTGCGGCGCCACAGATAGCGCAGGTTATCGAAAGCTGCTGTCGCTCTCGCAATTCATGAAGTGGTCACCTCCTCAACACCATCACCAGCTGTGATCAAGCTCTCTAGGTACTTAAAGTTATTGACTATTTCTAACTGATCGCCATTAAGGGTGAGTGCAGGCACAGGCTATTGCCAGGCTTGAAGAAGTACCCTGATATTCGAAGGCACAATGCAGATTGCTAAGGACACTGATTAGATTTTTGATACCAACAGAACTCAGTATTGTGTTGTATTCCATTGCATTGTATTGTATTGTATTGTATTGTATTGTATTGTATTGTATTGTATTGTATTGTATTGTATTGTATTGTATTGTATTGTATTGCATTGTATTGTATTGTATTGTATTGTATTGTATTGTATTGTATTGTATTGTATTGTATTGTATTGTATTGTATTGTATTGTATTGTATTGTATTGTATTGTATTGTATTGTATTGTATTGTATTGTATTGTATTGTATTGTATTTTATTGTATTGTATTGTATTGTATTGTATTGTATTGTATTGTATTGTATTGTATTGTATTGTATTGTATTGTATTGTATTGTATTGTATTGTATTGTATTGTATTGTATTGTATTGTATTGTATTGTATTGTATTGTATTGTATTGTATTGTAATTGCATTGTAATGTATTGCATTGCATTGTATTGTATTGTATTGTATTGTATTGTATTGTATTGTATTATATTGTATTGTATTGTACTGTATGGTATTGTTTATATTGCATCATACTGTACTGAAGACTTCAGCAAAATAACAAATTCACGTTTCAGCCAAATGGAGAGAAACTGACATTGTCACTTGGAAAAAGGAGAAACGAACGCTATTGGAATAATACTGGTTCGCCCATCGGGGTTCGTGTAGAGTTCCTCTGTGACTTTCATTTTATCAACCAGAACGCATGCTAAGCAAGGCACTGTAGAGTTGGGATAGACAGTTATGAGGGGATAAGTTTAAATGCGGAACGTGTGCAAGGATGCGAAAGGTATGCAGGTAAGTCATGATACAAGGGATGGTTGGGGTCTTCAAGAATCTTCTTGGCGAATGTTTCATAGGCTATAGCGTGCAAACCATAAACTTTGGAGATGAGAGAGCCTATAGAAATCAAAGAAACACGACTGATAATAACCAGGCTGTGGTGTAGTGTGATAAAATCTTTCTTAAGTAGACCAAAAAAGGTTACGGGAGAGCGGTAGACTAAGAATGGGAGAACTCACAGGAGAAGTGAGGACAGCTTATGTGTTACCAAACTGCCTTTGCCTACTAATTTGAAAAGACAGCCTACTAAGCGGCTTAACACAAACAAGAATATGAAAAGACCTCTGCAGATTGGTTCTGATTGTAACGCCTGAGTATTTAACTGAGTCGGTCCTGGAAATGAGGACATTGTTGATGACTGCTCATTGGGATAGAAGGAACGAGAAAGGGAGGAATTACACTCCAAATATTTGGGAGCTTTGGAATGTAGTACAGTCTTTGGAGGTGCAAAGTCTATGCCAAACATTACTACGCAGTCTCTGAGCCAGTTGATGAGCAACATCTAGTTCTAACCGCTATGCCCGTGGACAGGACACTTCAGCGAAAAAACAGTGAAAAGCAGTGTACCGAACGCACACAACAACCATGTCCCTTGTGATAGACCGGGAGAAGTACCTTCACGGGTGCCTCGGTCACGTTCCCGTGATCGGTTACCACCCCACTGCCTTGTTGGTCAGACTTTTGAGTCAGAGCCTTCCCAAAGGCAAACCGCTTCTGCTGCGTAAGCAGCCGCGAATTATGATTTGCCCAGAAGTATTCAGCAGTCCCTCGGGGAAATTTCCTTGTATCTCTGCTCTTCCTTTTTTTCAAATTCCAATTATAAATGAGTTCGAGGAGCCACAATGAGTTGTGGCCGAAAAGTTGTAACTCTCAGTAAGGGTAGTAACTTGGGTACAGGGGAATATAGAGAATCGATTCTTAGACTTAAGCATTCTGCTCACTTAGATGCACTGAACGTGCACACAACTTACCAAACTGGTCAATGGGCTGTCCTAACTGGAATTCTTGGAACCCTTAAAATAGATGTGTGCTGTGTCTCCTAAACACGTATATAAGACCCAACTTCAGCGTTAACACCTTGCTCTTCAGATTCAAGCTCGGCTTCTCATTTCACTCTTCGCAAGTCTGGCGATTCGGTGTCTAGTGCTCGTGATCAGGCTGACTTCGCCATCGTTCTGAGCACGAAAGCTGAGCGTGCACTGCTCGACTGGATCCCAGTCAGCATTCGTCTGTGTGCGGTTCGATTGAAGGGTTCTGTGCATGTTAACTGCAATAGACTGAAGCATTGATGCCTGTTTGTCGTTTCTGTGTATGCCCCAACTGACTGCAGCTTTCCTGAGGCCAAAGAAGAATTCTACCAAGATTTGTCTCTACTGCTCCCCAACGTAAGCTCTACAGACATTATGGCTTTCGCTCGTGATTTCAATACCCAAGTTGGAAGCCTAGACGGGACGGAGAGGAATATAGGATTCTGACGTGGCATTCCAGCCGATCGAACCGATGACGGTGACCGACTCAGCCAACTATGTTCCGACCATAGTCTATTGCTAGCTGTTGTGTCGCTAACCCATGTGTCATTGGCGCTCGCACGTGATTCATTCTGGTCTCAACAGTTTTAAATATTTGTGTTGGTTGTAACTCAGGTTGTTGGTTGTCATGATGCTCTGATCGCTGAGCTTGGCGTTTAAATCGCAAACGTTTCATCAGCAGTCGAGGTGACATCGTCAGTTCATGGTCCCTTGCATTCGCGTGCGCGATGCCTGTCTATCCCACGCGGTGGTTTATTCCACTTTACCAATCACGTGTTGTTGGGTATGCGTGTGACTGACATTGGTTCGTTGTTCCTGTCCCCTTGACACATTATTATGCTTGCGCTTGCCAGTGGATGATTCACATGTTTGCCCGCTTGTCTACTTACGCGCGCAGTTACCGATGCACTAACAAACGGATCAGTTACGTACTGCGTTCCATAAATTCTGAACACAACACTAGCGAATACGAATTTCCCACCCAAAGGGCAGCACTTTTTTGTTGTGATAATTCGTTCTCATACTTCCGTTCATCTCCCTTCCGGTTCACTAATGCTGCAGGCTAACAACAGAAACGAGTGCACGGTAGTGCGAGGTTAATGCATGAGCTTCACCGAACTTCATTCACTCGGAAAGTCCAACCCGTCCGTGAGGTTAGGTTCAATAATCAGGATTCTTATACCTATCCAACAGGCTATGGGTTGGCTATCCTTTCCAACCTGCTAACCATTGCTCGTTTAATCTCAGCAGACAGAAAACTCCAAGTAGCTCTATCCGAAGTGAGCCTTAAACCAAGCAAACGCTATATGGTGACTTAAAGTTGGTGTCAATGAATCCGAGTAGAACTGGCTTGTGAGCAGGGGGCGTACATCGTCGTTGACATTACAAGTTAACCATATAACGCTTTTTCATCAGGATTAATTCTGAAGTTCCCACTTAAATAAAAAATCGGGCTATTTTATGTCATGCACGGTGAAGAAAAACCTTTCAGATGCTGTTCAGATTGCTTACTTTTCGACGAATGTTCGGACACGTTTGCGAAATGCTTTAATTTCATCCGCAATTCCCACAGCAAAATGAGCTTTGAACGGGGCCACATTTTTGGTCATACCAGCACAGAGTTTCAAAATCGCATTCCATCGCCGACGCAGTGTGAGCGGACAATTCCACATTGTTTCAGGAATCTGTACACAAATACGGCTTATGATAAGTTCGTCGAGAAAAATGAACACAGGTGAAAAGGATCATGAGAGGAATTGTGATAGATAATATCGAATTTTGGGTTGCACGTTTTTAACGTCTTAGTTTATAGTTATGTCTATTCTTCTTCAAGAAACCCGTTTTTGAGGGTTCCGTTTATGCAGCAAACGTACTGTCCTTGTTAGGATTCATCAGCAGTGCACATCTACCGAGCCTCCCCAGGGACTCGAACCCGGAGTGAACGATTGTAAGTAGAACACCTAACCACCAGGCCATCCCGGCTGACTCAACGGTTTTTTGAACATCTACACTGCATGATTAGGCACCCTTCCGTCGCTGGTATCATATTACACAGGTCTAATCTCCTGCCACTCGTACAAATAGTAAGCAGACTCTGCAGGTTATTTATAACGGAATACCTTCATTGTACTCAGGCCCCTACAGAGAAGTCACTCATCACAGGAGTCGATCGCTGTGCGAGGAACGGGTTGTTACCGTCCATTGCCAGTGACGGAAGGGTGCTATATCATGTAGTGTAGATGTTCAACAAACCGTTGAGAGCCATTCGGGATAGCCTGGTGGTTAGGTGTTCTATTTACAACCGTTCACCCCGGGTTCGAGTCCCTGTGGGGTCTCGGTGGATGTGCACTGCTGATGATTCCCAACAAGCATGAAACAGCATCCATGGTTCTCAGTGATGAGTGGAGCGCTGAAACTGCATGATGGATCATGCTATACAAATCTAATATCCTACTGCTCATGTGCAAATGTGTTGTCAATTTTATAAAAGTGACAATAAGGTAGGATAGCCTTACTCTTCTTGGCAGTTTGCATCTTGACAGTTTTTATTTCATTGTAAGCTGTTCGCATTCTGGAGTGTTTGTAATTCTGCAATCTACAAATGATGAGTTCAAGCAACATTTTGATCCTTGGAATCAACGATATTATGACAAAATCCGACAATATATCTCCAACACCCCCAAAAATAAACATACAAAAGGACCTCCGTTTCCCGATTGCTATTCATCTGTCGCCCTGATAGACAGATTTATGCATTTTACGTCTATTTGTTTTATTTATTTAGGTTGCGAAATAAGCCCATTAACGTAATCAGGACAGAATGTAGGCGAACATGTTTCCGGTGATTTCATTCTAAAGCCATTACAGTCACATTCGAATGTTAATGAAACAAATCGTAGAAAGCTAATTGGGAGAGTTCTAATTGTCTCATTCAGTGTTTGGAATCGAATGCGGATGAGTCAACTTTGACCATGCAACACTTGCATAAATAACTGGGTGGTGTAACAGGTGATAACTAAATTACGTCACAGCCACGCTTGTCTGATATAATCGACTGTTGGCCAGGGTTGTTGGAGTGTTTGAAACAACTTCCGTTGTGCGCATAGTTCTGGTCTCAAAAGACGGATGCGGATTGCTTCGACAGTTGATAGCGTCCGAAGCTTGATTGTTCTTGATGGATGCTGTTGGACGCGATAAACCATGATGAAAGGCTGAGTGGACGTCTATCGAGTGACCGGTTTCAACGAAGTGTGCCGTAATGGAACTTGATATGGATCCGTCCCCTCCGTGTCTAAGCCACCGTGGATGGTGTTCTTTGTTACATTTGGATAGCTACCTTGTTCGAACCACATAAGTAGCCATACAAGTGCACTTGAATTGTTAAATAACCATATATGAAGTCAACGAAAGTAGTCTATCTTTGTTCTAGCATCGAACTGCAGGTTTCGTCGTGATCGAACATCTCATTCTGACAGCTTTGAACGTAGATCTTACTGTGGCGCACAGAATTCTACTGACTCTCTCAGTCGCAAAATCCCCCTTGAATGGGAGTCTGATGAACAGCACGTTCTCTTCGACCCCCCGTATTCCTACTGGGTTTGTCCGTTCAGTCCAGTTTCGATCGATGAACTTCTCCGGATATCCGTTGTTTACTAATATTTTTCTTTTTTATGATAATTCTTCTTCTATAGTATCTGCGGTGCAGATTTGCGTCGCTCTATACGGAAGACATCGTATCTGATTGCGTTTGTAGCCAAGTGGCACAAAACCATGAAAGTTCGTTTAATGGCCGTTCCAAGTCACTTTCCTGTATACCATTCTCTGAAGTGAACCATCAGAACGTCTGTTCAGGCAAACATCAAGAAACGGGAGACAGTTTTCTTCCTCGGTTTCCACCGTGAACTTTATTGCCGGGTGCGTAGTGTTAAATTCACGTAAAATAACCTCCAGGTCCAGCTTTTTATCAATCACACAAAATATATCATCCACATAACTTTAGTGGTGGTCAAACTGGTGTATGAATGCATTTAATTTTCGTGTCTCTAGTTTAGCCACGAAGATGTCGACAAGAATTGGTCTCAAGGGTGAAGCCATGGCAACCCCATCCTTTTAACGATAATAAGTGTTGTGAAACAAAAATCGTACATTCAATATATACCGAAGTACTAACTCTTTCAAATTCACAGTTGGGATTCCTAATGTTATCAATTCTTTGTCGATAAATTCACAGATGAAGTTGACAGTTTCAATTAGAGGTACGTTAGTGAACAAGGAAACCACATTCAAAGAGAGCATTTTCTTCCGTTTTGTATACACATCTTTCAAATACCAATGAACTGAAAAGTGTCTCGTAGCGTGTGTTTTGCAATTTCCTGCCGTATAGGTTCCAATATTGCCACCATCGACCTGTCTGTTGAATGAAAGGCTGAATTCATCAGGAAAACGATAGGACGGAGGGGTATTCCAGGTTTGTGAACTTTAGATAAACCATATAAGCCAGGTACATTGGAACCTACTGGCTTAAGGCTTTCGAAAAGACTGGGTTTTATATAGCCTTGGTCTCTGAGACGCTTTAGTGCGTTCGTAATTTCTTGTTCTGTCCTCTCTGTTTGGTCTTCATTCGATGCATCCTTAGTGAATTTAGATTTGTCACATAAAAGATGAGACATCCTGGCCACATACGAAGCCCGGTCCACCACGACAATGCCGGGTCCTTTGTCTGGTCTGCTAAGGATAATTTGGGGATTGCACTATAGATCCCAAGGGCTGCAAGGTGCTTTCGTGTCAGAGGACCTTGATTACGTACCTGATAACGCCGGTATTGATAACGTGCTGTGACCAATGACGATTTGAAACGTTCTAAATCTGTCGATCTGGATGTGAGATCAGTCGTTTGTTCTATCAGGTTTTCAAAAGATACATCAAAATCAATCTGACTTTCTTTGCGATGTGGGCAACAAATTTCCAGCCGAGAGACAACGTTTTGAGCAAGACCCTATCAAGTTATACACTGGAAAAGTTGTATACATACCGTTCTGGTTGACTCGGAAACGGAGCTTGAAGTTTAAGTTGGCTAAGAGTAAGCTTCAGTGATAAGGATTTCTTTTGACAACAGCACATACAAATGTGATTGTAATGGCTTGAGAATGAGATAACCGAAAACATGTTCACCTGCGTCCTGTTTTCTATTCCTTTACGAGGAAATCTCGTTAAATCACAGTCGAAAAAGCCTCTCTCTTGGGCACGGACATAAGCGCATTGCATGGAGCGAATTGCAACTCCCTTTTGAACTGCACGGAACATGGCGACTGCAATGCGACTTCACCTGATTGGTCTGCTCTGCCAACTAGGAACCAATCAGTCGAACAAGAGATGCAGCCTTGCTTACTGGCTACCACGCGATCGATATTAGTTCCGGTCGGAACACATGAAACACTGCGCATCACGGAGCGGTACTCAGACGGCGAGCGCGCTATCCGTCCGGCGCGAAAGGTAGTGCGGGTAGTACGCACGCTGATCTGCCGCTAACAGTGCGGTCGTTTTTGTTTTTGTTTTCTGTCTAAGTCCATTCGAAAATACTACAGGGTGCGCTGAGACAGGATACAGTTAGCGAGAAACAAAAATCAAAAATCCTAAATTTTCCACTCTCAACACAAACATGCACAGACACTGACATTACTTGCTTGTCGCACACACAGACTTGGTAATGAAACCCGCGGTTCAGTCATCATTACGTCATCATATGCAAACTGACGAAAGTCCAGTTGAATCTGTAAAACCGATGTGGTTTAAGGTTTCGTCAGGCCTCTCAAATGATGATCTCAATTTTCCCTTGGCCAGGTAAACGAGTTAAGCTGAACTGTGTTCATCACGATTATGAAATTGCGTCGGAACTTTTCCATGATTCAGAAAAGAATGAAGTAAAATCAGCATATGTTTTGGAGTGTGCCGTCAAATCTAGTGAGAAGGCATTTCTGCCTTTGAATCATCACAATTTACCAGCGCAGAACTCATTGCTTTTATAGGGAAAAAACAGTCACTGTCACCAATCATTCCAACGCAAACTAACTGGTTCATACTTGCACGAAGTACGCTGTCTTCTGGTTAGTGATTGGTGGTACGACCAGCTACCACCCGACGAGAATTCGTTCACTTCATGTCAATCCTCTACCTTGTCGCTTGAGCATCCGCTGACTCAAGCACTGACCTGGATTCTGGACATGTGCCCACATGCTGATTTCTGATAAGACTTAGCTGATTATCGACCATGAGTGAGCACATTACCTCACAATGTGCACTCATATTTCACTAATGAAGTTCATATGAATTCAAAATGAATGCTTGCATGTCCTCCCATAAGGGTCCAATGTGAACCTCTTTTGATGTTTGCGTGAATCTTCTCAATGTCCTTTATTGGTATGTGTCCTGAAGCTATTTGAATGTTTTTCTGACGTTTCTCCAGTGTTCGCGGCTGCGGTATGCAGGCCATACTCTTCAGTCGATTCCACAAGAAAAAGTCTAGAGGAACAAGATCATGATATCTTACTGGTCGCGTGATAGGTCCGCCTCTTCCAATCCCCCAACCAAGAATCTGGTCATCGTACCGAACAGGCTTAGAGATGTGAGCCAGAGCTCCATCCTGCTGAGAATATGAATTGCCACTTGTATCACCTTCCAATGATGCCAATCGTTGCGAGAGGAACTGACACAACACGTTCCAATTCCAGAGATGTGCGGTCTGATAAGTGTTGCACCATGCGTGCCGAACCGCACGAATACTTTGGGGTTGAGATGGTTATGCACATCCATCACAACTCACGGATTGTAGACATGATTTTTTTTAAATTCATCACACTACCGGACGCGTTTAACAAGACCAATTCAGAGTTACCATTCAACCTTAGATACATGGCGAAGATCTAAATCCCACAGGAGGCACTGAGCAGATGAACATCGATTGGATTCCTTTCGTAAGACCATGAATGGTCGTGATGAACACAGTTCAGCTTTACTCGTTTACCTGGCCAAGGGAAAATTGAGATCATCATTTGAGAGGCCTGACGAAACCTTAAACCACATCGGTTTTACAGATTCAACTGGACTTTCGTCAGTTTGCATATGATGACGTAATGATGACTGAACCGCGGGTTTCATTACTAAGTCTGTGTGTGCGACAAGCAAGTAATGTCAGTGTCTGTGCATGTTTGTGTTGAGAGTGGAAAATTTAGGATTTTTGATTTTTGTTTCTCGCTAACCGTATCCTATGTCTTGGCGCACCCCGTATATAACACAATGAACCGTTCTTCAGCAGTCATCACCACAGGTGCAGTAGCGATATTCCAGGCAATAAGGAGTACAATGTTGCAACGGTGGCTCATTTTCGACATAGTCATTCTATTTTGATAAACTGTAAATTATGCTCCTCCGAAAGTTCATTAGATTACCAATTACAATAAAAGTGAATGTCTAAGTTGGCAAGGATGCAGACTTTTGTCAGCAATCCGATACACAAATTAAAGCAACCGGGAACAACACACGAAATGTATGCTCCAACCGTGACCACACTTACCGGTGGTGGTCAAGTAATTACCTACTAGTTAACACCTCAGGAGTTAGTGCGTCGTATCCCGCCACCAGCGGTAACTTTGGCGGTGGTAGAAGGTAATCCAATATAGTCAGGCCTGACATATTGAAACCTCGTGTGATTCTCCGTCACTCGAAATCTCAGGGTCAGGATTTCGGTCACTCCCCATCCACCCCCTTTTGATGAAGTGGGTCTTCTGAGGTGATGAAATACACCATTCCACATCAGCTCACGTTCTAAAGAAAATAGATAGAAAAATGACAACAGAATCGCTGCTTGCATGTGCTCACGGACATCGTTCGATGAAGCGGTTCGATAATTATTTTGTCAACCGTTTAGTGCACAAAGCGCCCGCTGATGCACCATGACAAGGATCGCTTCACTGAATGCTAACGGCTTTGATTTGGGACTGTGCAATATCCCTATGAAGCCGGAGATTTGATGTAAAATCTCCGGCTTCTTCAATTGCGAAACACTTAACTGCATCAGGTCACAAAGCTGACCTGACCAAATCCTTCACAATGGTATTGCACAATCCTAAATGATTTTTGTTTGAATGAGGAATCAAATCTCAACAGTTTAATGGTTGCACTTTAATAAATGAGATAGTTACAAGGCGTAGAGCTTCAGATATCCTGAACATGACCCACGACAATTCTTCTGCACGTTTACACATTATCTGATCATCGATTCGACATAGTGAACGGTGTCTCAGAGCTGCTAGATTGCTTCACTCAAATAGACCATAATTGTCCTGAGATTTTGCACTTTTTACAGAAAAAGGTCCAAGTAGATAATCAATATACACAAATTTCACTTACTCCACTAATGAATTCCTGGTTTTGAAGAAAGGTACAAAACAAGATAGGCGATTAGGTTCTCATTAGACAAATCGTTGATTATTTGATTACAGGTGGAAACAAAAATCATTATTTCTTTCTTCAAAAACCAGGGAAACGAATAAATAAGTCATTTAGAACACTGAGAGGTTATTTATTCGAAACCCAATGTCCGCGTATTCATCTGGTGGACACCGGTTGAAACATAGGACAATCCTGTGAGAGGCGGCTAAACGGAAAGTTCAGTAAGAGCATCAGTAGGCACCAACATTTACAATTAGCAAAACTCGACATGGTGTTTCATAACCTGCTGTTACACTGTTCTCGCCAATGAACGAACACTAGCCACAGTGTTCCTTGCTCCTGCATCGCACACACACTGGGACCAAATATCCGGCGGGACATTTCAGAAGATTGCTTTTGGGCCAAACAGCTTCCCCAAAACTAGTCGATTAAGATGACATTCCATTCTATCCGGTCCTGCTGATACTGTAGCCAATTACGTGGCGCACTAGGGCCCTGACCTTCCGAGTGGACTCAGCAATGCAGGGCGTGTTAAGCTTCCCGGGTGAGGTCTGAGAGATCCACCCACATTGTGGTTAGATTCAATGAATAACATGGCTAGCTGCTGACAAAATTTCTTCGTTTGGTATGGGACAGGAAACACGCTCCAAAAAGTTGGTATGAATCAGTGATCGTACCGATTCACAAGAAGGGCGACAGGTCCTCCCGTGAAAACCACAAGGGAATAAGTCTGGTCAGCATCGCATCCAAACTGCTCGCTGGTATCATTCTCCAGCACTTACCAACCACTCACGAACAGTGCTCACGCGAGAACAAAGTTGGGTGTAGACCTGGCCGAAACTGTGTAGATCAAATCTTCACTGTTCGACGAATTCTAGAACATAGGCACACCTTCCGTAGGCCCACTTTCTCCGCTTTCCTCCATCATAAGGCAGATTTTGACTCAGTGTTACCTCTTTTTGAAAGGCAGATCAGGGAAATTCATTCCCATCGTAAATTCCCTCTACATGAATAGCCGAAGCCGAATTCGGGCTTACGGTGGTCATCCATCCGAGTTCACCACGAAAAGTGGTGTACGTCAGGGTTACCCCCTTGCTCCTTTTCTCTCTAACTTCGTGATTGGTATGATCCTAGAGATTGCTGTCTCATTAGGAAAGGATAGTAGTATTGGATTTTTCCCGAGGGGAAAGGTGTCAGACCTTGAATATGCTGACCACATAGTTCTTCTAAGTGAAGATCCAGGTAGATTGCAAACTTTTATGGACAGTTTGACTGACTGCGTAGCAATGTTCGGTATGCCTTTTGTACCTTTGAAGTGTAAGATGCCATTGCAGGATTGGGTTGGTCCAATGTCAAACCTTTTAGTAACTGGGGGAACTATAGAC